GCGTCAATAAACATCCATGTCTACACCATCCTCTTACCTATCATATAGCTGGCTAGGTACCTATAGCTGACACTACACAATAACAGACTGACCGCTCCGACATCTGGAAAACCCGCGTCGAGAACATCATCCGCGGGCTCAACATCTTCTTCCCCACAGGCAACATCATGAGCGAAGTCGCCTGCGAACCGAACGGCAAATGCAACGTCGACCAACGGTCCTTCAAAGCCTACCTCTCCCGCTGGATGTCCCACACCATCCAGATCGCCCCCTTCACAAAAGACCTACTCATGCCTAAGCTCCGCGCGTCAGCCGAAGCAGCCGCCTTGCAATGCAGCGGGCCGAATAATGCGTGCGGGCTGCGGTGGAATCACAACGAGACGTTCGACGGCAGCACGGGCGTTGGCGAACAAATGGCCGCACTGGAGATCTTTCAGGGTCATCTGGTTGACTACGTCGATAAGAGGGTTACTGCGAACACGGGCGGGATTAGTGAAGGGGATCCGGATGCCGGGACGGGGAAGTCGGATGAGGACTCGGTGGGGATTCATGAGCGGGTTATTTCGACAGGGGATCGGGTGGGCGCGGGTATCTTGACGGCTGTTATTGTCATAATGGCTATGTCTGCGGTTTATTTTATGGCTGTCTGATTTCGTTTCTTTCGTGATTTTATGGACTCTTTACATATTGGTGTTGGGTTGTTTAAAAGGGTGATCTATAAAAATCTTGGAAATACATGGGCTTCCGAATCGATAGTTATGCTAATCTACGTCGGCTTCCAATTGAACTTCAATGCAGGGCATAGGATACCCAACGGGCTAATTAGCACATTCGGTTCCTTCCATGTCACAACAAAAACATCAATATAATCATTCGCTCATCCAATCACATTTCATAGGGAGATAATAATACAAATATAGAATGCACCAATCCCAAACTCCAGCTAGAATTGTTCACCTGCTGCTCCTTATACAATGGCTAAGTAGCACCGGAACGAGCGGGTGATGGTGCCCAGAAGCCCACTTTCATGCGATCGATATAAATACAGATATAGATGGATCATATGCGACGACAAATTCAGCTGGTATCGTATCCCGTAGATGTTGCTGCTGTTGTCAAGAGATCGAGATCATTCGCTCTATTTCTCACCGAGCAGTTCCTTCCGCATTTCCTCGCGCTGTGTCTTGGCCTCCTCTTTCGCTTGGCTTTGTTGGGCCGAGACGTCGTTGCGTTTCTGCTCTTGTTGTTCTATCGCCGCGTACCAAACTATTCATCATCGAGGACATGCTGTTAGTCGCGTGTAATCAGACCAGACCAGGCCACCGAGCTCATTCATCCATCTCAACTCGATAGCCCCGAGGGGAACAGGCGGGAAGGACAAAACATACTCGATTTATCCGACTTTGACCACTGCTTCAACCGGTTCACGTAATCGTCGAATTCCTGCGCTCGGCGATCTCCTTCCTCCAGACTCCGCTTCTGCAACTCGGGGTTATAGCGCTTGAACAGTTCCTCGTCGGAAGGTCGGATCGATTGCACGAATGCCGGGCCGCCGACGCAAATGAGGGCTCCGCTGGACGGCGGTGGCGGTTAGCTGAGATCTCATGTGGAATGTGCTCTTGGGTTGAACAGGATGACTCACGCTCCGAGCATCTTCAACCATTTTGCTGCTGACATGATGGTGGCGTGGGCTCCAGCGCGGAGGGAAAAGTGCTAGGCTAGGTTGATCGCGGATGAGATCGACTCCGAATGGAAGAATGAGACAATGATGTCAGATAGATCGGGGGGGTAGGAGGACCGATTGGCAGGAACTGGAATCTGGATCCACGCAGGGTAAATCGGCAGACGAGGAATGCTCTCTGTTGAGAGCGGCAATAATCAAGGGTTGGTTGCGGTCAGTGTCCACCGGGAAATAGCAAGATGGATAGCAAAGCAGCCGATGCAATTGGATCGCATTTTCGGCCGATGACCGATAATGGGTGTGGCTCAGTCGCGCCTGAGGCTGGGTAAGACCGGCAGAATGGAGAAGAGGTGTGGCGCGGGAAAAGGCGGAGAAGAACGAAAGGCGGTCGATCGCTTTTCTACTTGGAGATGTTCTTCCCGCCGGGAATGGGCCATCGACATTTTCATCGGCTACCAATCCAGAAGAGTAAAACGTCCTTTCTAGTTGCTCCACTTGCCCAGACTAGAGGCACTAAACAATTCCTAAACTCCATCATGTTGCGCTAACTCTTCACTTGTGTCCTTGGGTCCTTTCTTTTGCCCTTGCGACTAAACCTCGGGAAGTCACGGCCTTAAGAGAATAATGGGCCCAAAGGCCCCAAACTTTTACATTTCCACCCCCCTCGCATGACGCTTTCTTTTTATATCTCTCCGGGACTGTCATGTCTAAGACATTTTCCTGGTCGGTCTATCCGATTGCTCGGCGCCAGGTTCTCAGCGGCAAGTAATCTTGGGTCTGACGCCATCCCGCGAGCGCTATGGAGACCATTTCTGTGTGCCCCGTTTTAAGCACCTCAGGTTCTCCAGCGGAGGGAAAGCGTGCGATTCATTTACTCAGAAATTTCATACTCCATTCAGCAGCTATTGGATGATCGTCATTTTACTTCCTGTTCTGCTCGAATTTCAAGGGCCGTTGAATAGTTTATCGCCGGGGTTCCGTGATTCGTTCCGCCTTCCTCACTTTTGCCCTACGGAGTCAATTGATTTCTAAATTTATTTCTTTGCCCTTTCCTTTCCCTTTGTCCTTGCCCGGTCCTCCCATTCGCTTGACTAATGGATTTCTTCACTTCCAATGATCCGTCATGGTGGAAGAATCCCAGAATCTCAGCGGCAAGGGGGAAGTCATCTCCGGCCCACAATTCGGATCTCAATGCGACACGGCTGATACAATGTCCAGGCAAGGAGTAACTGAATGCACCCTGTAAGAACTGGCAGATTAGAAGTTACAACAATGTGGCATGTAGCGAGTAGCCGTACTGCAATACCCCCTGGGTGGAGGATGCAATCGCTAGATTCTACATCCAGTCCTACATCTGTCCAAAGCACCAGTCCCACTGTATCGTGCCTCATTAGTTAGGGTACGGACGGCATCGACGAATGAGAGGCTAGAAACGCACCGAAGTACTGCATGCTGCGTGCTGCGTGCTGCAGACTGTGTGCACTCCGTACCTGACCTAGACTCCGTAGGTGTAAACAGCGATACGCCCGGTCTCCCGTGCGTTTCGAAACGGATATTATTTTTCTCTCGTACTCGTAATATCGCCGGTTGCTTCTACAGTATGTACTCGCGACTCTCACATATAATATAAGCCCAGGCGTGAATGTGGGACAAGAGCCTTTTCCCCTGATGATCAGCGCGTTTGGGATCGGTGTCATCGTCGCCAATGGATAGCGCGACTGGTTAATTATGGTAATACGTCCGACGTCATATCTTGGACAGCGGATCCTGGATGACTGGTTGAAAGCGAGACAGTTTCTACGGAGCTACTCGTATAGCTAGAGTCGAAGGGGAAAAAAAAGGGGGTCGTGGAAATGGGACTATAGATCCCCAATTGGGCCTGCCAAGAGTTACTCGGGGTTTTGCCTGCAGCGTAAGTGGTCATTTGTATGCGGTGCGACTGGGATGGCTTAGGAGTTTAGGAGTTAGCTATGTATGGCGAAGGGGGACGGAATGGTTTTTAGATTTTTCTCGTCTTATTTGTATGAATTAACTAGAATGATCCCAATGATGACGAGAGACGGTAAAAGTCAAAAATTGTTGGAATTCATAGCCACAGATAGGTACAGTACACTTAAGTCAATGAGATTAATATAATCAATCTAACGCTGCTAATTTCCTTGCTTTCCGGTGGGACGGTGAACACTGATATCAGAGGGAAAATCCAACCAAAAAAAAAAAAAAAAAAAAAAAAAAAAGGTTAGAGAAAACAAGAAAAAAAAGCAGGGGAAAAACGACGTGGGTCAAGGGTCGAGCAAAGAACGGTTCCTAAAGTTGTCAGTCAAGTCAGGTCCGTAGCGTGAACAAGTCACCCGTGCATCCAGCAGAGCGAGTGGATAGGATAGAATAAGAGTAATCATAAAAAGAAAACATAGAAAAAATAAAAAATAAAAACCAAAATAATAAGGCAGAATTAGAAATCGAGACAGATTTAAAACTAGGAATCCAATCCTTTTTCAACTAGAGGAGTCTTCTTTCGAGTCAATCAATTGTTCTACTCCTGGAGTAATCCTGTCCCTATCGTCCACTGTCTCTCCCAGTCTCCCCTCATTTCGGTGCCTTATTCTCCGTGGGTACTGCCTGCCTGGCCTGCCTTAATACTTCTTCTGCCGGCGCATCCACATTCATTAATTCTCCCACTCTTTTCCCTCTCCCTCCCTTATTGTCCCCCTCTGAAGTGATCACACGCTCGTTCAAAATCACAAGGGGCCCCCTTCTTTCTCTCTCTTTCACTCCCTCTCTTTGATCCCATTTTGTTCAGCTCCAACCCTTGGTTCGGTTGACTCTCTCCTTCATTCTTTTGGAGAAGCCCCGGTCCCTCGTGGTCTCGTTTTGGGTAAGTGAGGCCTTGGCGCATTGGTCGTCCGATCGCGCCCTCTGTTCCTCTGTCGCTGACTATGTTCCCTTGGGTAGATCTCATTACGAGCGATCGTGCATGAAATTTTCGGCCTGGCCTTGAAGCGAAACAGTACATATTTTCTATGACCTTCCCCGGAATTCTCGGTCTTAGCGCCATTCTTTCGCCGTCCTCGATTGCTCAGTGAGGCGTCCGGCCTCTCGATACCTATTTCTTCTGACTCGACGATCGTGGTGAACCGACGGAAACTCGACTCGGTAATTAATCAGTGAACAGGAGGGGCGCAATCTCGGTCCACAGTTCATTTACAGTCGCCGGACCTCAGCCGGATAAAGAATCCTGACCAGCGTGCTCCCACTCTGAGCCGCCCAGCGACCTTTCTTTTTAATCAACTTTACACACCATAGAGCCTTGATCTAAATAATGGCGTACCCCCAACGACCTAGGCAGAGGCCACCGCCGGTGAGAAACTACGGGGGTGGCGGCCCCCCTCCTCGGGGCGGGGGCTTTCAAGGACCCCCGCAGGATGGATACTTCGATCAAGAAGCCTACGATTATGGCTATGGCAACCCAAAACAGCGATACGACACTGGAGGATACGATGATACAGGATATGGATACCCTGGTGACCAGGCGGCGGTCCCAAGATCATATGGACCTCCTCGAGGAGCGCCGCGACCTCCTCGGGGAGGACATGGTCCTCCTATGCAGCCGCCGCCGGATCGCAGCTACGCCTATGGCGGACGATCGGCGCCAAATGGATATGATGACCGTCGCGGCTATGATGATAGGGGACCGCCGCGGTCAGATCGAATGAGACCACGTGAGTAAAAGATTGGGGGCTGCATTGCATGCATAGATTGTTAACATATGGCAATAGCTCCACGTCAGGTTCCGCAGTCGCCGGATAAGATGGGATACGATAACCCATTCCCAATGTTTCCACCAAAAGACCCCTCCCGTGGGCGGGCTGACTCTCAGGGCCGAATTGAGAGGGGTATGGCTGGAATGGATCTCAACGGTATGCCGTCGGTGAAGCCGCCAGTGCGCCCGCATACCTCTAATGGACGACGGCCGGATGTTTCCGCTCGTCCACCCATGCCCATGGCCCCGCCGCCCGGTCGTGGGCGAGGAAACGCTCCTGGACCACCGATGCGATCGGCCAGCGCCGGACGCCATGTAGCAGGCCCTGCGCTAGAACGATCCTATACTGACGCCAGCGAGCCGCCGCCGCCGATTCCTCAAATCAACAGGAGCGCGACCATGCCGGTCACTTCAGCCCCTACCCCGCCACCAGTCACCAAACCCTTATATCCTGGACAGACTACGTACCAGGAGCCGAGTTACGCTGCGTTTCGATACACCCGCGAGTATAGCACGGAGGAACTATTGGATGTCTACTACAACTCGGCACACGCGGCTGAGCCCGACATGCCCAATTTCGATGCGATACCCGAACACGGCAATGGCGGCTTGATCGACGAGAGTTTGCCTGGGTTGGAACAGCCAAAACCGAGGAAGGCTCCCATCGAATCACCGCCTCCGTCAAGGGGGCAATACACTGCCTTCAACCCCCAGTCTGCGCAGCTTCATCATGCCAAGTCCCAGCCAGACATGCGATCGGGAAATGCGCCAAATCAATTTGAAAACGCCGGCTTTCATTTTGATCTTCCCGGGGAACCACCGTCATCTCCGGGCTACTCTCCCGCGTACTCCCCTGGATATCGCCACGACAGTATGGGTTTTGGAATTGGCGACAACCCTTATAACGATCCGACGCCGGCACCGTACCACGGAAGCCAAGATAGTCGCAGTCAGTCTATAACATCCTACTCTGAAAGGCGCCCGAGCTTCGCTACCCGAGAAGGGTCCATTCGCAGTAACGGGCCTCCCAAACCCTACCGAGCCAACCAACCCGGCTATGTCAATAACCCGCCCCCGCCAGTTAACGAAATGGGACCGGTCATGGAGCCTGATCAAAACCCTGATGCGTTGCCTCACCATCCGGTGCCTTTCCGACCAGGCCATGACTCAGGAAGCAAGCCTGCGCCCATGCGCCAGTATAATCCCAGCGTGCCAGTCTCAGGACCAGCCCCGACTCCTCCTCCTGCACCTGCATCGGCACCGCCAACTTTACAGGCCCCCCCGGTGGAGATGACCGTCTCTCAACCAGTCACGCGGGAGGAAATCCAAAGACTCCAACAGATCGTCAAGAGCCGTCCGTCGGACCAGAAAACACAACTTCTCCTGGCCAAGAAATTGGTCGAGGCCTCGACTGTTCTGGTCGAAGCCAGTCGAATGGACCCCAAAACAAAGGCCAAGGCACGAGAGAAGTACATAAATGATGCGTACAAAATCATCAAGAAACTTGTTGCCGCCGGGAATGGAGAGGCTCAGTTCTTCTTAGCAGACGCCTACGGCCAAGGCTCGATGGGTCTTCAAGTCGATAACAAAGAGGCGTTCAACTTGTACCATTCCGCTGCAAAACAGGGGCACGGTCAGTCCGCGTACAGAGTGGCCGTGTGCTGTGAAATTGGCGCGGAAGAAGGTGGCGGTACCAAACGTGATCCATTCAAAGCGGTACAGTGGTACAAACGGGCTGCTTCTCTAGGAGACCCTCCGGCCATGTACAAGATGGGAATGATCATGCTCAAAGGACTCCTGGGGCAGGCGAAGAACCCTCGGGAGGGTATTTCCTGGTTGAAGCGCGCCGCCGAGCGTGCCGACGTGGAGAACCCACATGCGCTTCATGAACTGGCTCTGCTGTATGTGAACGCAGGCACTAATGATGTTGTCATTCGCGACGAAGGCTACGCCTGTCAACTTTTCCACCAGGCCGCAGAGCTGGGATACAAGTTCTCCCAGAATCGACTGGGCACTGCCTACGAGTACGGACTACTGGGATGCCCGGTGGATCCCCGACAGAGTATCATCTGGTATACTAGCGCTGCTGCGCAGGGGGAGCACCAGAGTGAGCTTGCCCTTAGTGGATGGTATCTTACCGGCTCCGAGGGCATCCTGCAACAGAGCGACACCGAAGCGTTCCTGTGGGCGCGGAAGGCCGCCTCTGCGGGACTTGCGAAAGCCGAATATGCGATGGGATATTTCACCGAAGTGGGTATCGGTACGAGCTCCAATCTCGACGATGCCAAGCGATGGTATTGGCGGGCAGCTGGTAAGTAGTCTTGTCTTGTTTCTTAGGAGATTTATCTTGCTAATTTCATCCCCAGCCCAAGGATTCCCTAAGGCTCGCGAGCGTCTCGAGGAGCTTAAGAAGGGCGGCGCTCGAATGCAAAAAACCCGTCTCTCACGGTCTGCCGTTAACCAACAAAAACAGAATGACGGGGACTGTGTTATTATGTGATTCACAGAGTGTCACGTCCTTGGTCCTTCGATATTCCTTTGCCTCTTTTTTTATTTTCTTTTTCTGTCTACCAGCGTTGATGAGCCGCTACGTGCGGATGCATACACTTTTTACGAGGCTATCTGCCTAATGAGACCAAAAGTTGGTCTAAAACATTCTTCTGATGCTCTAAGACTTTGTTTTAGAAGAATCTCCTTGTTTACCTTACACCTCATGTACATTTCGTTGTGATTCCCCTCGATGTCATTTCCCAGAAGTTACGAAAAGCAAATCCGAGCATAGATCCGGCGTCGCATTAGATGGGACATAGATCGGGCCGGTTATTGGATACATTATTCGCTATATTTATTTAATATTAATGATATACTTCCCTTCTATTCTTTCGTTAGTCATTCATGGATACATCAATGAGTTCATTCCGTCAACCTTGGGTCTACTACTCCGTAGAGCGGTGGAATTCCGCACCTCCACCAACCGATTGGTCACCATCCGATCGGATCGGATCGTCTGATGACATTTGCTTACAATCGCCTGGTATTTATAAGTAGATTTGCTTTTTCTTCGATCGCCACATGCCGTTCCGGCCTTGCATCATTGTTGATAGAGTATAATAATCCTTCCTTTTTTTCCTTGTCTATTACGTCGCTCAAGGTGTTATATACATGTCTTCCGCCAATTCCGCAGACACCCATCCGCAAACTCAATCCCAAACTCCGGCTCAAAGCTACAAGAAACCAGCTTCCTGGGCGCTGATATCCCTGTTCACGGTCTTATTGGCTGTATCAATCGCCTTGATTTTAGGATATACAGGCCCTAGCAGTGCTTCAGAAACAGAAAGCGAAACCGCCAATCTGTTCGGCCTGAAACGCTTCTTTGCTCGTACGTCTACGTCGGCTAGACAGACGGGGTCATCTGTTGCGTCGCGCCAGAGCTACAATCAGCAGAAGAAGACAGGATCAGTGCAGACCGATACCGAGGCCATGGCGACGAGAACTCCGGTTTATTTTCTCAGTCATGGTGGTGTACGTTTCCATTCCTTCTGTTACCTTGGGCTTGAATAGCCGAGCTACCACACATACAACAAAACGAATACTGACGAACTTCAAGCCAAACATCATGTTTGATCACGACCACCCGGCGTATTTGAAGCTCGGGCAGATCGGACGAGAGATCACGAGTAAGGTCAAGCCTCGCGCGGTGGTTGTGTTTTCGGCGCATTGGCAGGCAGGAAAAGATCATGTGGAGGTGAACAATGCGGAGATTACGGATTTGATATATGAGTCTGTCTGCCCTTTTCTTCTACCTCTGGGGTTTCATCTCGTATTGGTGATATGTGGTTGGTTTCGGGCTGACTTTATTCTCTTTTGGATAGCTTCTATGGCTTCCCGAGCCAATACTATAAAGAAAAGTACCCGAATGTTGGAAGCAAAGAGATAGCAGACAAGGTGCTTGGATTTCTGGGAAACGCGGGGATCAACGCCCGCGGCGTCAAACGAGGCCTGGATCACGGAGTATGGGTGAGCTTCAAGTGTGGTGAGTTTCTCTCCCCTCCCCCGGCTTTCCTGTGTTCCATAAAAGAAGAGAGCGATAGCTAATAACATACGTAGCCTTTGAACCCGACACCAACCCCCTCAACGTGCCCATCGTACAAGTCTCCCTCTTCAAAACCGAAGACCCCCTCCAGCACTACAAACTAGGCCAAGCCGTGTCCGCCCTACGCGACGAAAACATCCTCATCATCGTATCAGGCATGGCCGTGCACAATCTCCGCGATCTGCAGTTCACATGGGGCAATCCCCAACCATTACCCTACACAGTGAGCTTTGACGAGGCGCTCAAAGACGCCGTCACGACTGCCCCGGGGGACCGGGAACGCGCTATGGCGGAGTTGTTGAAGAGGCCGGACGCGCGCCAGGCGCATCCGTATTTCGATCATTTGCTCCCGATTCATATTGGTGCTGGAGCGGCGGGAGATGATGTGGCTAAGAGGCTGTGGACGCTGAAGGAGGGAAGTATGAGCTGGGCGCAGTTTCGGTTTGGGGAGGTCGGGAATAGTAGTTCGTTGTGATGTGGTCAATCTCAGTTTTGGGATGACCTTCTGACCGACTTGACATGGAGGCCAAATCAATTGATGGGATGGAAGGTAGTAGTAGTTTGTATTGGTTTCATTGTTTTTTCTTAATTCATCTATAGATACAGTGCTAGACAAGACAACTGAACCGGATTCGAAACGGAACTGGACGGAAACAAGCGATCGATGCGAAAGAGTAAAATAAGATAGTTATACGTAATGTCGAGATATATTCCGCTATGAAGACGCTTCTTTCACCAACTGGGTGATTTTCTCTTCGATTTGCTGATCCGTCAGGCCTGAATTTTGCGTTAGCATGCACCGTCCCACTGCATCACACATCCCAGGTAAAATCCGAGAGTGCTAGAAGATAACACATACCGGACAGAGCCTCCTGCTTCTCACGGCCCAGAGCTATATCCCCATAACCCGATTAGCGCTACCATTCCCAATTCACACGGCCTTGTGTCCAATTTTCGACCGCAATTCCAATCACGGGGCACAATCATACCGTATCTAGCATAAACCCGAGGCAGGGTACCGGCGGCCTCGCGGATCATGATGGGAGTGTGAGGGTTGTGCTTCTTCATGGTGGGGTACGCGCGCTGCAAGAATGACCTATATGGCAGGACACAATTAGCCTCGCTCAATTCTTCAATATTGAGATTTCCTCCTCCGGAGGGACGTACCTCGTGGCGGCGCTCTGCTGCGAAGTCTGGCAGAAAAGGAAGCGCAGCTCCTTTAGACCGGTGGTGAAAGCGTACTTGGAAGACATGGCGTCGGGAGATGCGGATGAGGAGGAGAGAAGAAGAGAGAAAATGTACAGGGCTACCCCGCAAAGCAACAGGAGCAGAGAAAGGGGGGTATCAATTGAACTGAGGGACTTGAGGATGTTTCCTGAGTTCCTCCCGAGAAAGACTGGATGGAGTTCTGGTCCCGACCAATCCGGTCAAGCGTGATTACCTACGCCAACGGGGCTCACCGCCTGCCGGAGTTGGACGAAGAGCCGCAGGGCGTGACCTCGCCGACGTCGGCTTCAAGATGCTGTCGCTGTCAGATACTGAGACTTGATTCTTTTCGGAACTCGACGCGTTTCGATACTTTTTCCCTTTTCCTTTTCTTTTCTCTCTATAGACTAGGGCTTAAGACGACCGGTGGTTCTATCTGGTCTTTATTCGGTTCTTCCGCGTTGACTGTACTTTAATATCTTTCCGGCGCAAAGTTACTTCTCGTCCACCCTTTCTAACTCAACTCTCCACTCTTCTCCGATCTTCCCAACCACAGTCACAATGTCTTCTCGTCTTGGACTTCGCTTCTTCCAGAACGCCCGCTCGGGCTTCCGCAACTCCGGTCCCTTCCGTCGGCCTGGTGCCCAGGGATTCCGGTTCCAGAGCTCCGATGCTGCGGCCGCGGACAAGCAGAGCACTTTCCAGCGTATGTGGAACAGCCCGATCGGTGTCAAGACGGTGCATTTCTGGTATGCTTCTCACTCTTTGTACTCTTTTGATTTACGATTCGAAAATTGCGATTGGAGTTGAATGCTAATTGTTTTGTCGATAGGGCCCCTGTCATGAAGGTACGGACTGAATCTTTTCTCACCCCTTGGTTTGATCGCCATCGGAGTACAAATAAGAGATTGTGGATGGGATTAGAAGAACCTGGATATGGATGCATCACGGAATAGTGAGAAATGAATACTGATGGATTGCAGTGGGCTCTGGTCATCGCCGGTATCTCCGACTTCAGCCGTCCCGCCGAAAAGCTCTCCCTCACTCAGAACGGTGCCCTGATGGCCACCGGAGCCATCTGGACCCGTTGGTGCATGATCATCACCCCCAAGAACTACCTGTATGACTCGACAGAATCTTGATCGATGAGTAAAGAATCCACCGGGCTAACCTGCATCTAGGCTCGCTGCCGTCAACTTCTTCCTGGGCTGCGTCGGTGTCGTCCAGGTCACTCGTATCGTCAACTACCGCCGTAGCCTGGACGGCTCGACGACAGAGGCCGTGAAGGAACTGGAGCACGAGGTCGCCGATTCCGCCAAGGCCGTGGCCGGTAAGGCTGAGCAGGCCGTCGAGAAGTCGACCTGATTTGTGTGTCGTGTTTGATCGATTCTAAGGGACTATTTAGCGTCTCTATACGCGGGATTATCTTTCTCGCCGCAATGGTAACTTAGTTTCTTCCCCGGAATTTTCGTTCGCATGAATAGCATCACTTGATAGATGGGCTCTTGTATGGGGCCTACGTCTTCTTCTCAGGGCAAGGAAAGCAGCTGGCATTTTTGTATATATTGAAATTGATGTTTAGCAGTTTCGTCTGTCAACATATAAATTGAGTCTTAGACTTGTAAGGAGTACAAATCGTAGTCGTACAAAGTCCAGCCCTGCCCGTCACTCAGGCTAAACAGACCACCTCCAACCACCAACAAATGACGAAGTATCGCTTTTGCATAAACCCAGCCCATAATCAAACACATCCCAAATACCCGACTGGCATGATATCCTACTTTCCCCACAGGAAGACAGACGATCTGCATAATTTTCCCCCCAATCGGGCGAATTCGGCCACCAAGTTATCCCTCCTATCAGAGTCCCCGTTCACCACTCTAGACTCCCATTCCTACAAACTACACACCAAAGCACCTTGCACCTGGACAAGCTGCCCTCATTTCTCGCCCTCCCTCGGCCTCTCCACATGCTTGCTCCACTTTTGATTGAATTTCCCCGGATCATGGCGCCCTGCAGATTCGCGGGCAATTTCTCCTCCGCAGGCAGCGTTGGACCGTACAGGGGGGTATGTCATTGGCATTGGCATTGTTTATTGCTGTGGAGAGCGGAGGAGATGGGGCTGGGCTGGGCTTGGTAGCTGGTAGGAAATAATAGGTATAAAAGGGTAGTAGGGTCGTGGACGATCAGTTCCGTTTTGATTGTTGGGATCTTGCGCTGCTCTTTTTCTCTCCCATCTCTCTCTTGCCCTCATCCCTAGGATCAGACTCCTAGGCAAGATGAAGCTCCAATCCCTCACTCAGACAGCAAGTCTGCTGCTCTCTCTGGGCACCGCAGTAGAGGGTTTCACGCGTTCCAGGAACGACGCCTGCAAGCCCAACAACCCATTCAAACCATTGCCTACGAGCCACCAACGAAATAAGACCTGTCGTGTCCCGGCCCACGGCGACGGCACTGACGACTCGCCTGCTATTCTGAAAGCTATCAAGAAGTGCAATAATGGCGGAAAGGTCGTCTTTGATGAGGATAAGGAATATACCATCGGGACGGCGCTGGATTTGACGTTCTTGAAGAATATCGATCTCGGTAGGACTATCTAACCAATTCTATACTATATCTTTATGTATGGAGAAAGAAAGGAAAAGAGCTAACGTAGGTTAGAAATTCTCGGCAAGATCCAATTCACCAACGACACCGACTACTGGCAAGAGAACTCCTTCAAACACACCTTCCAGAACTCCAGCACCTTCTTCCAGATCGGTGGCGAAGACGTCAACGTGTATGGCGGCGGCACGCTGGACGGAAACGGCCAGGTCTGGTACGACCTGTTCGCCGAGGACGCGCTGATCCTGCGTCCTATCCTGGTGGGTATTATCGGGTTGAAGGGCGGCACGATCGGGCCGTTGAAGCTGCGGTACTCGCCGCAGTGGTATCAGCTTGTTGCAAACTCGTCGAATGTGCTGTTCGATGGGATTGATATCTCTGGGTATAGTAGCAGTAAGCATGAGGCGAAGAATACGGATGGATGGTTTGTCTCTCTACCTTGTTTTTGTTTTTGCTTGGTAGTTTGATTGGAAGACGAAAGGCTGACCTAATGTGATAGGGATACGTATCGCTCGGATAACATCGTTATCCAGAACTCGGTGATCAACAACGGTGATGGTATTTCTTCCCTTCAGCATCATCCCGGTATTCATGAAAAAGCGAAATGATATACTAACGATAATAGACTGTGTCTCCTTCAAGCCCAACAGCACCGACATCCTCGTCCAGAACCTGCACTGCAACGGCTCCCACGGTATCTCCGTCGGCTCCCTTGGTCAATACAAGGGCGAAGTCGACATCGTGAAGAACGTGCTTGTCTACAACATCTCTATGTATAATGCTTCGGTGCGTCCCCTTACGCTAAGCCCACAAAACTCCCTTACGAGGAATAGAGAACAAATTAAGCTAACCAAAGGCAACATAGGACATGGCTCGCATCAAGGTCTGGCCTGGCATCGACTCCGCCATGTCCGAGGACCTTCAAGGCGGAGGCGGTCTAGGCGCGGTCTCCAACATCACGTATAACAAGATGTACATTGAGAATGTCGACTGGGCGATTGAGGTGACGCAGTGCTATGGACAAAAGAACCTGACGCTTTGCAATGAGCATCCGGTACGTTTTCTCTTATTTCAAATTTGATGACATGAGAAGGACGAGATGAGGCTAACAATGGAACAGAGCAACTTGACAATCTCCGATATTCATTTCAATGACTTCAAGGGCACGACGTCGGGCAAGCGAAACCCCTATGTTGGAACGATTGTGTGTTCGAGTCCGGATGTATGCTCAGATATCTACACGAGTAACATCGACGTGAAGAGTCCTAAGGGCACGGATGACTTTGTCTGCACGAATGTGAGTATTCCTAACCATCCTTTGCCTTTCTACGTGTATCATGCAAGGACCATTGAATGCCCGGGATATGCTAATGAATATTGCTTGCTAGGTTGACACGGAACTCCTAGACGTCAAGTGTGAGAAACCGAAAAGTGATAAGCTGGATGGTTAACGTACCCCACAGCTTGACTATCTCAAATACGCTAGTGGATGCACCGTGTAAGATGTGAATATCGCAGCGAGGAAAAAGCCTAATATGCACATAGGATCAACACAGATAAGATGGAATGATGTAATAAAGACAGAACACCCTGATGTAGGTACTTGGCTCAATTTGAGAAATGACATGGATTTGTGCAAGAGGAGAGCAAATGACTTTTTGACCCCCTAGAGATTTTCAGTGAACTCAGTGGAAGATAATGATTTGAAGGACTTCTCCGCAGCAATGTATCTTCTTCTGTACGCTATTCTTCTGCTTTTAGCTGTTGTTCACCCTCCATCAGGAACTTCTATCTTTATCAATGGCCTTCCATTTGCCCTGCACACACCCACCCTCACAGTATCCATATCTGCGTCATGATCTAACAGTGGCTGCACAACATTTTCATGGCCTCTAAAAAGAGCCCAATGGAGAGGGCGGCCCATTTAACTGCCCCTCCCTACCTTTACATCTGCACCGCTCTCTAGCAGTAAACGCACAATGTCTACGTGATCTCGATAAGCTGCTCCATGAAGAGGACTGCCATATCCCATATGGAGAGTATTGATATTCGCTCCGCTCTTCAGCAGCAGCTGAATAATGTCCATGTGGCCGTTAGAAGCGGCTTTCCGAAGAGGAGTATTCTCTGCAGAATTAACATCGGCGCCGAGATTTAGCAGTAACTGCACAATATTCAGATGACCTCGAGAAGCGACTGCCATAAGAGGACTACCACAATTTTGGACACAAGAATTAATATCTGCCCCATTCTTTATCAGTAGCCGAACAGTATCCATGTTACCTCGAGAAGCCGCTCTTTGAAGAGACCACCCTTTTCTAGGATGCGAATTAACGCGTGCTCCATTCTCCAGCAGTAGCTGAACAATCTGTCCAACCTAGAGAAACCGCTTCCTCGAGAGGCGTATCCGAACCGCGTAATGAAAAATTGACATCTGCACCGTTCTCCACCAGTATCTGGGTAATATCTTTGTGACATTCTACACAGGCCGTCCGAAGATCTTCTCCATTGATATCCGCCCCATATTTCACCAGGAGCGGGGAAATATCTGTGTGGCCTTTAAGAGTGGCGTTGGAAAGAGCTGTTTCGGATAAAGAACCATGCCGCAAATTAACATCTGCTCCGTTCTTGAGCAGTATCCGGACAGCCTCTATATGGCCGTTATGGCAGGCTCCGTGAAGAGCATCCAAAGAAACACCACTAACATTATTGATATTGGCCCCGTGTTCCAGGAGCAGCAGCACCATCTCCTTTTCACCCCTTCTAGAAGCATGTACAAGAGCAGTCTGGTGTTTTGAGCCTAGTAGATTGACATCTGCCCCATTCTCTAGAAGCAGCCGTATGAAATCCTTATCTCCTTTTGAATAAGCGTCAATGAGGACACTGCCACCATGTACAGATAAACATCTGCGCCGTTATGTAGTAGCAGTTGAACTAAGCCATTATGGTTGAACTTGTAGGCAACCTGAAGAGCAGTTCCCCCTCCGCACAGTCTGTTCACATCTGCGCCTTTCTCAAGGAGTAATTTTACCGTGATCTGCAGATTTGCCCAAAATGCATGGTGCAATGAAGAATCCGTTTTTTTCTGCCCAAAAAAGGCATGTGAAACCAGTCCATCCAGACTGCTAATCCTTTTCTTACTTGCAAGAGAAAACCGAGAATACTCTCCTGCACATCTAGCTCAGATTCAGCATACCGTGCATGGTTTTCCCAGCTTAATCCGGCGAAAATTCCTAGTGGAAATGATCTGTGGATCTTTTCTGCGTACATGGAGTGGTACTTGCCCCGAGGGTTGATCTCTATGATTCATATCCAAATGATTCATATCCAAATGATTCATCTCCAAATGATTCATCTCCATATGGTTTTCCGCAAAGGAAAGGTATGCCAAGAAGATCTTTGTGATCGATGCATGGGCAAAGACCTCTCCAAGAAGTTTTGCAAAATCCCCCACAACACGGGTGGAGGCCAAGTAGACCTTCAATGAGAAATGTGCCAGCTGAATCACTGTCTCCACTGTATCCACTGAGGATAGTGATGGTTGAATTTCTGATGGATCATCTGAGTACCAGTGGCCCTTCCGAGGGAAAACTGGGTTACATCTGGCTTTTTGGGTTACTACCACCACTAAGCTGGAGCAGTACCGTAGAATCTCCCTTGGTTCTGGCATTCGGCTTTTGGGATCAAAGGCAGGGTCCCTTTCAAGGTCCACCGCTATCACACCAACAGCTTCTTCAATCCACAGCGGCCGCACAGAGTATACTAAAAATTGTAGCAGCCTTGAAGTAGATTCCTGGTATGTACTAGGAATCCCGGTAAGTATTCGAGCGTTGGTTTCTTCCAATGTATCCGGTAGGGAGACGAGTGCTTTGGTAAGGCTGCGGTAATCAAGGTAATATTTAAGAGCGTCCACTCGAAATGAGACCCATCGAAACCTATGGATGGTTAGACTTTTAGCGTGGCATGAGTAGATGATCAGTTTGCGCATATATTCCGTCGGCCTTGTCTAAAAGCTTTGTTTAAATTTCCTCCTGCACGTCAGGTCGCGAGCGCCATCTTTTGAGCCTGTCATCAATATGAATCTGTGCGCGAACGTATGCACGGATATCATTGGTAACATCCCCTTTTTGAATGGGGAACTTGGATTTTGCAGGTGCCCAACTCATCAAAGCTGATTCAACGTCTTCCTCCTGGCGACTTGTGACAAGAAGATGGATATTAGAAGGTTTGGAGGCCACAAGATCCTTAATCCATGACAATAGCCCTTCGAACTGGAAGCCTTTCCATGTTTTGCATTCATCAAGGGCATCCTGCACAATCCATATTTCATCAACTGCCTGTAACATCTGTAGGAACGTCACGCATAATCTCTCCATGGTGGGCTGTTGACGTCCATTCTCACATGAGGAGAAAAGCGAGTCCAGTGGACCCCTAGCTTCTATCTGCTCGTCATAAAACTGACTGAGCAACGAGCGAATCATGCCATTGAGTGTTTGTTTCGAATTGTCATTGAAGTCAAAATAGAAATAAAGTAGTCGGGAAGGTGTGAGAGCTTTGGTCAGCTCCACGATGATGGTGGAGCTGAGTATTGTCTTGCCAGCGCCGGGTAAACCAAGTAGCCATAGAAAGGAATTTGGTCGGGTCTTCCATTCAGAACTCTTTCTCCTGGAGGATCCATAGGCCTGTGTCCTTATGGCGTTGTCCTAACGCTTTGCTGTAATTCACCGATGGATCTGGAGGGCTCAGCCAGTTCTTAATTCTCTTGTGACTCTCATCGGTTTTGATATCGTCTATTTTATGGTGCATGGCATCCAAACCTGATACAAATATCAGTGACTTTATTTAAATGTAGGCCATCAAATAAGAGACTAACTAGAGCCTAGACTTTGAATAGCCTCGATGGCTTTCTTGGTCTTAGTCAATTGCCTAGCAGGGACAATTCCAAGCAATTCCTTTGCATAGGAAGCTGCAGACATAGCAGCATACTTTTGCCATCGGTCATTTTTATGGGAATCGGCATAATCGCTGATTCCCCGAATCACGAGACAAGGGAAGTCATTCATGAGGCCGGCGGCTTCCATCTCATAACAAATGCAATCTCCGGTTTCATCCTTGAGTGCATGAGCCAATTCATCCCTGCGTTTCGCATCTTTCATCACCGTGTTTCCGGATGCTATTATCCCGTAGTGAACTTTTGGATCAACAGAAGACCTTGTGTTCTGAGTCACCAGGTGTGAGCCGCAAGAGGTACGGCATTCGGCGCAGTCCTCCCCCCCTTGATGCTCAAATGAAGCACTGAATAGCCAATCATTCTCGCGGCCCTGGTGCGCAAAGCCAATTGACCTGTCCATTTTGCGCTGCAAGGACGCCAGGATTTTTTTCATCTTTGTCTTACCCCCCATGCGCTCCGCTTCCATGTTCGTGACTGCATTGAGCAGAACGGTAGGCGGCTTTGCGACGAATCCAACACGCTCGAAGGTGTCCAGCTTCTGCTTCCCAAGGTCATACTGCACTATACCACCACTGCTTCCTCTGGGATTGCTGACTGCGACATCACCCAGTCGGACATCGCGAGTGTTGTTAGGACATGGGATGCCACCACCGATACCCACGAGAAGGCCAATGCGGATCGACGGGATGGACATGACCATTGATTTTGCGGTCGTGGCTGCCGGCGCGGTACCGTACGAGCCCGACGCGAATGCGGCAAGAACGACGTTGTGTTTTCCGATGCGACCCCAGGTGTACACGTTGTCGTCTGACTGCTGTTGCTCAAAATCCGAGGGTTCATAGTGCTCCTCGTCGAGTATGGCCTTTACTGCCGCGAGCTCAAAATTGAGAATAGTAATGAAGCCGACAGTGTATTCGTCGCACGTGAGTGACTTTTTAGGACTGTCTTCAGTGTCCGAGGACGCATCGATTGTGGCGCTGAGCACCTCTGGCTCGACCTTTGCTGGTGTTAAGGGTATTTCTGAACGATACAGGATCTTTTCACCGGCCGTGGACTTCTCAACGGAGACTGTAGGAGGATCAGAATGGCAGCGAACATAGAAACGAGACAGATAAAATATTGCAATGAGAAGCAAAACCACTCCGGCGAGGCTTGATGAATGCCAGTCAGGCCAGGTAATCGCCATTTTCGGCAAGTGCGGGGAGCTGTGTCAGTGTTCTCTAAAGCAATACCCTGGAGAAATTCCCTTTCGCGATTTATAGGTTGTTCTGAAAGGTACAGGCGCATTTCGAGTTTCAACGCATTCCTAAAGGAGGTAGGGCTTGAATCCCAGTGACAAGTGTCGGTGAGCTGAGGGGTAATTAGGCGAGGCTACTATTCGTAGGGATGTGTTTCTTTTTCTGCGCCTCCCCTCTCTGCGTGCTGGACTGACAAGGCTGCACGGTAGTGGTTTATGCATTCTTCGGAAGGGACTTGGGCACATATGGCGCAGCAGGCAATCATACATTGTAACTCGACTCGAAGGAACATGAGGCCGTGGCTACGCTCGAACTGCCCTTGCACGTAATCGTTCAAGACACAGCTACAGCCAAGGATAGATATTATACCCAAACTGTAGCGGGAGAACTCAGCCGCGTTATGGCAATGCATGGTTGGCGATCGTTAGTCACGCATAAAGGCCGGTTGCGACAAGAAAATCACAGGTCCCCGTGTCCGAAATACTGATCGATCCATGCTACCTATTTGCTTTCTAGATGTGAATTTGTTGGGAGAAAACCAATTGATTTATTGTAGTGCCTTGGTCTAAACAACATCAAGACGAACACCTGTATAACCAAACTTCCAATTTGCCTGTACAAGAAGGATATAATATAGTATAAGATATCAGAATAAAAGCAATATGACACAGGATGAGTCCAAGGAGTCATTTACACCTGTCTGTTGCTTCGCCATGGCACGCAGGTACTAATACTCCCTGATATTGGCGTAACGGCTGGGACGCGAGGCTTCGCAAGCCTGTGTCCCATTGACGGAAGGGAGAGTGTTCTTTGGGACTCGGGCACGGGTGATAACTTGGTCTTTAAGAACTAGGCGGTTACCCAGAAGCGATGTAGAGGGTTTGCAGTCGGACCTGCAAAATTCTGCCTCCCTGTCCATAGAGGTGGCATGGAATCGTGTTCGCCTGCTGGAAGCCATGTTGGCAGCGGGAGGGCTGTCAAAGCTATACGCTTCGACCTGATGACCCATCAATTCGGAGTTTGTAGTAAATTTGCAGCTCGGAAAAAGGTTGCAGCAGCAAAATATTCGTAGCTTCAATCATTCTCATCTTGTAATAAAACACTCAACTTCTGCAACTTATCCTCACACTTGACCTCCATCTGCATAACCACATCAACGCTCTCTTTGTGGTTAATCAGGAGCCCAGCAACGAGCCAGAAGTTATAAGCATTGCGGTAGAAGCCCATGGACGCCCACTCTTCTTGAGAAATGGTGCTGCTGAGCGCCATCCAGCATTCATGCCACTTCTTCAACGCGATGCGGATAGCAGACAGAGTCGAGTCCTCTGGGATTGCGGATTGACGGCGTTTGCCGGTCGCAGGGTCGCGAGCAGCTTGCGGAATTGGAACCCGAGATCTGCGGAGCAGCGTGGAGAGAAGCGTCACGTGTGTGTTTGTGAAGGCGTAGAGCACTGGGGTTGTTAGGAACAGGAGCTTTCTTTTATGAATTGTGAGACAAGGACTTACTGTGGATGAGAATGAACATGTCGAGGAAAGTGAGGCCTGATAGCATATTAACACCAGACATGCTGAATCCCGATGGCGACGAAGTCTTGCTGCTGTGCTCGTGGAAGAGGCTTTGGAAGGTGTCGCTTATGTTAAACTCCCGCATAAGCTGGAACTTGGGCTCTTGGAATGGATGCCCCGAGGCGAAGACGGCCTCGGCGCAGGGGAAGTCGCTCTCCATCTCGGTGTGGGATAACCGGCAGGGGTAGTTTTGGTAGAATACAAAGGCGCAGTCGAGGAGCGAGATGTACGACATGGAGCTATAGCCGTTAGTCGGGAGTTGAGCAGACTGTCCATCCAAAGGGCACCTACCGAATTCGGCACTCTTTCTGGATCCACAGGCCCTCGTGCGTGCGTTCTTCTAGCTGATGCCGAGATTTAGGAAGACCAATCCTGCGTGCAACCTGTTGTTCATCAGCGATCGATATTCTCCACTCCCGTCAGAACGACATACTTTGATGACCTCGCTGAACCGGTTTTCCATGGCGCGGTTTCGTGATACCCGGGTTCCACCCCAGTACTGCGCAACCACAATGATGAACCCGGCCTGGAAGTTCTGGAACATGGACCAGTCATTTGCGTCGATTTCCGTGTTGCGACGTCCACCGAACGCCAAGCCAATCTCGTTCTCGCAAGAATAGATGTCACTAGAAAATACCACGAGCTCTGCGAAGTCCACCAGACGCCTGGCAAAGTGGAGTTCTGTCGCATCATCCGAGTACATGGCTCCCATGAAAACTACAGCAATGAGTAATGGCAGGGAAACGATTTCCGGATCAAAGGACGGTTGATGGAGCATGGAGCAGCTGGGTTGCCAGAACTTGAAATACATGGAAACGAATTTACGGATCCGCGCTGTTGTCAGCAAGTAGTTCGCCCCAGCAGCGATTTCTTGCTGCGTTTTAGGATCCAGCGCAACGGTGTAGGCTTTGGTATGAATGGCACGGATTAATTCCATCGCGAACGGTCGTTCCGGTTCATGCAGGGGTTCGTGTCCGAGTGACGCAAATCGGGGGTCCTGCATCGGAGGCATCACCACCTGGAAAGGAATCTCGTCGGCATAGAGGTCTTCCATCGATTTATTCGGAGCGCCAAACGGCCCGTTGAAGAATTCAAGGAAATTATCCCGGGAGAACGAGAGCGTCGCGGGGTCGGAATCCAAGAATACTGGCGGCTCGGCCTTCAAGCCGGGATAGCTTATCATCGAGCCTTGACTTGCCTCTAGCTCCCTTTGCGTATGATACTCAAGGCCACGAGCTCGGTCACCCCGCGGCGGAAGCATGAACCTCTCCGTGAAACTGTCGGTACCACCATTTAGGAGAAACCTGATCGAGCCCCGATCCGATGGCGGTTGGTGGTCCTTTTCCTCATGCGGTATCACTGGATCTAAAGGTATGGGCTGCTGAGTCGTCGACCGGACATTGTCGTTCTGGCGGTGTGCCGCGCTCGTCCCGAGGCCGCGGGATGCTTTGTGATCTTTGCGTTCATTGTTGCATTGGTAACCGCGTTTCGTACAGGACCCGCATGGACTCATTCCATCGCATCGCAGTTTCATAGAAGTACACTAATCGAGGGTTCATGCGTTAGGAGGGTTCGATTGTTGCGCCAGACGGTCGGGGGACTTGCCGATTCGCAAGCATGACGGCGTCTGCCTCTCTGGCCCGTCTCCGGGATTCTTCGGTCGCCGCGATGGTTGCAATCCGTATAATGGTCGCGAAGGTTATCACTGGCAATTGAGAAGGTGGAAAATAGTCAGCCACCAAGTTGTTTGACCGGACAGGGGGGACGGGAAAAAGGTTCGGAAGCAGTGCGACCATGGACAAAGACAAAGAAGCCATTCGAACTCACCATCGAGCAAAGGATTCACTGCAGAAGACGCATGAGTAGGGCTTAACACCGGAATCTGCCGACCGAGGCAATTGATCGGGTTAGTGAGTGAGGAATCAATTTAAAAACGAAAAGAAAAATGTTCAATGGTCGGGAAAGGGGATCCGACGGTCAGCGCATGCCGTGAACGGGGAGAAAGGGGGGAAAAGATGACCGCAGGCAATTAATCAGGCTGCCAATAAGAAAACAGTGGGTTTGGGGAGGCCATACGACGCAATTGATGCCGCTTGAGATGATCGACTCGAGTAAAATTGCGGGAACAAATATCGCAGGTGTTCTTAGACGACAGATCAGACTTCATGATGGGGAGCAGGCATATCTAGCGAACGTGACAGACATTTCACCGGGGAGAATTCTGGGGCTAAGTGGACAAGGGCGAGGGGACAACAGAGGCCGGCATTAAACGATCTGGTTCTGGCACCGGTGGCAAAGCCGCCCAAAAGTTGGGTGCAGGGCGTGAAGGAACAATGGGGACTTTGGATCGACCGTCGATCCGCGGAGACTTTGGAGACTTTGCCTAGCCGGTTTGCTCTCGCCGCGAACCGGCTTTGCCCGCCTAGCATTTGTCATCCCGGAAGTATGTCTTCTTTAACTATCACTTCTGCAGTACTCTCTGACATACACCTGAACCCCCATGTGAACAACAATCCGGAGCTGAATACCGAATCGGGTCTGCGATCCACGGTCCATCAAGCCTCAGGAGGGGGAATTCCTGTCAACCCAGTACTCTCCATGTCCATGACATGTCATAACGCTGCCTAACCTTCAACCACAGCCGGTGGGAAGTCAATCTGTTCGTCATTGAGATAAGCTACGTCAATGGCCTTGTTCTTCTCATTCAGCGTGCGTCCATCCCCAAGCCATCCATTGGGATTGTCGTTGACATATTCGTAGGCGAAATCCTCCCACCGGGGATGACCCAGCACTTTCATTGCATGGAGAGAGGAGCCTAAGTTTATTAGCCGACTCAAAGTTAACTCCAGCTGCGGTGCCCTACCAGGCCATAACCCTGTCACCCTCCCCTGCTTGGTCCCCCCTCTATACCAGCTCCTACATCCTTGGCCGAACATCGTTCGGGAGAAATGCTGATCGCAATACTTGGTAAACAGGCCCACGGCCTCCTTCCTGGGACGCATGGTCAGGATGTTATCTCTCTGCATCTTCTCCACGCAGGCGATGATGTAGTCAGTCGACTTCTCGATTACAATCAGCAGGTTGCCTTCTCCTAATGCGGAATTAGGTCCGAAACAGATGAAGTAATTCGGGAAATCGTCCACCGCTACGGAGAGGTATGTTTCGGGCGTCTTTTCCCAGCGCTCTGACAATGAGAGGCCGCCACGCCCCAGGACAGGGAATCGAAGCGTGAACGAGGTATCAAAGCCCGTCGCGCAGACAAGGACATCGGTACGGTGAAGGGCACTGTCAGCAGTGACGATGCCATCTGTTTTGACTTTGACGATATTGGTTGTTATTACGTCAACATTCTCGTCTGTCAGAGCTTCAAGGTATCTGGGTCCGGGGGTGATACGGCGGCAAAAAGGTGGAAAAGAGGGGAGGAGTTTATCGAATAGCTCGGGCTTTCGGGCCAACCGTTTTTGCATGCTCTTCGCAATGACATCTCGAGCTTCGACCTGCTCCGGAGTTCCGATTCTCGTCACGTTGTGAACAGATTGGAGTTCATGTTCAATACCTGGAGTATCCCAAGTGTTAGACAACACTACGAATCTGCGAGTACATCGTCTCGGTAAGAATATACCCACGCTTCCTAAAGCGCTGATAGACCTGATGATCCTGCCAAAACGTGTCTATTTCCCCCCGAGTAAAAGAAACTTAAAAGCCCCCCGGAAACCCGAAAGTTAATGTGGCTGACTCCTTCCCCGACTGGAACTGAGGAGGAACTTACAGTTTCTAATCTCAGTCCCACGCTTATCAACCTCATCACGAGCGAAGGTGGGCGCAATTCACGTCCAATCTTTAATGTAATGGTCGAGGTTTGCTACTTTTGGCAATATTGCCGGCACGATTTGGATTCCACTGGATCTGTTGCCTATCACCGCTACTCGTTTGCCCTGCGATGTCATGTCATGTTGTCAACTGAGTTACGATACATGGATCAAGGATGAGACACGAAGCGATATGGACTTGGACACGGACACGGAAAACTCACGGTATAGTCATACCCTTCGTCCCACCTTGCACTGTGCATCAACTTCCCCTGGAAGTCAGCAAGGCCCGGAATATCTGGCCACTTCCAAGCATTTAAGGCGCCGGTGGCAGATATCAGGATGTTGCATTGATCCGAGTAGACTGAGCCATTGGCCCGATCCTTGATCTGGGGGAGAAATATAGACATACGTCAGCTTTAACTTCTTATGGGGGAAACAGCCATGCCCACTTGTAAATGCCACCTGCTCTCCTCCCCATCCCTCGCTGCCTTGACTACCTGCTACTTGAGTGTTACATACTTCATGCATCCGTACTTGTGCATTACTCGCTACGAGTACGCGTGTATCTCGAGGGCACCGGCGTAGAACGTCGACTATTCTTTGTTTGGCTCGAAGGTCGCTTGGTATGTGTGATCTAAGGTGCCGACATGCGAATAACGAATCTATTAGTCACCTATCGTAATTGAAAGTAGAAGGCAATGCTAATTAGGCATGAAGTACCACACGCACACCCGGGATACTGATTCCCTAACCACGTTCCTCCGATATCGTCGTTCTTCTCGTAAACGCATAGTTCGAGGTTTGCGATGCGCTGACGGAGTCGGATCGATGCAATGATGCCAGAGGCGCGATGTAAAAGGAGCATCAGAGCTCAGACACACAGCCAGCGAAGCCTGTGCCTTCACACACAGAGAATGAAATCTTTCTTGAGACTGCTCGACATCGAGAATTAAGAATGCCGCACCGGTTTTGAGGACGCTCACTAGGACAACAGGGAGCAATAACGATCTTGGGATATACACGGCAACTACAACACCAGGGCCAATGTCGCGTTTTGACAATTGTGCAGCCAACCCAGAGGATAGCTGACCCAATTCAGAGTACGTGAGGCTACCATCCCAGGAGCATACGGCCTCGAAAGTTGGAAAATTAACAGCTTGTGTAGTAACGAGGTCATGCAGACATTTATGAACGGGCTCGGGTATGGCACCATTCCAACTTTGCAGTTCTTCGGCATCCCGAGAGTTAAGAGACTTGAGCTTTTTGACCTTCTGTCACCATCCATTGTTTAATGATTCCATGTTATGCTTGAATTGATGCATGATGCGTTCCGCAATTTGATTACCAAGCACTTCGGTGTCGAAAATCGTGGAGAGCTTCGCTCCTGTAGATTCAGGGGTGCACATAATAGTGAGAGGATAGGTACCATTGCGGGTATTTTCAACCGTATCTGATGATAGGGTGTATAAAGCTCCCTGTTCCAGAGTCGAGGCATTATTTTCATCTCCTGTTTGAATAACCAGGAGATTTTGGGCGTCGCTAGCGGGGCCGGGCGTCCATTGTTGAATGTTATGCAGACCAACCTGCTCATAGGGGATCGTTTTCGTCATCTTCACCTGGACACTCTCTAATGCATCCTGAACGGCTTGCTCTTCATCGATTGTGATGCGTACTGGTGCCGTGACAAGAATAGGACTAGTCAAGTGCTCGATTCCAGGGACTGGCGCGGCCCTTCCATAGCTGACATTTCCAAAAACAACCTCCTGCGAACCATGATATTGTGAGACTGTAAGTCCCCAGGTAAGTTTGATAATTGTGGACATTGTTGAATTCTTCAAATTGCGATTGTGATTAAATTCAAATGTGTACGACAGATTCCCCATGGACCCGTTTCCTGTGGTGTGGTGCGAGCGCCTTGGAAAGGCCGGAGCGACACAGTCGGCGAGTTCCTTCACCCAGAATGACTTTGCCTTCTCAAGATCAATGCTAGATACGTATCTAGCCATGGTATTAAAAGGCCGGGGTGCAAGCATTTGGTCTTTGTACGCGCAGGTAAGTTGCCGCAAGATCAACCGCATCGACAAAGCATCCTATAGAGCATGATGCGCCTGAATTTGAAAACTCGTTGGCCCGTTTTCGATCTGTTGGAAGCCATATGAGATCAAGGAACCTCCTAAATGAATGGATAGATCAGAAGATAGCTTGTCGGCGTCCCTCCAATCGGCAGAGACTCGTTGGAAAGCCTGAATGTCCCGAGGGCAGAGTCGTGGATCAATCGAGTGCGCAAAATCGGGTTGGCTTGGACAACGGTAAGCCAAGCTTGATGAGCTTATCGCGATCCCCATCGAGAAGGGAAAAGGGCCGTATTCCGTCTCTTTCTGTTGTGTCACTCTCGCCTATTGTGGCAGCAAGCTCATCGAGTTGCGGATGATTGAATATATCAGCAACGGCAAGTGACGGGCCCTTTAGTCTAGCACCTCCACAAAGTCTCATAGCACTAATTGAGTCTCCACCAAGGTAAAAGAAGTGGTCATTCTTACCGACATCGTCCACATCGATCTTCAAGTATCCGCGACAAGTTCCTGCAAAGTCGATTCTCGGTATCCCCGTGGCATCTGCTTCTCTTGGCTTTGTGTCCGGTACGACTGAAGAGCATGACGTGAAAGGGTCTCAGCCTTCTCTCTCAAGGTTCGCCGGTCTATTTTACCAGTCGCGGTTTGGGGCATGTAACGGAGAGGTAAGAAGATGCCTGGAATCATGAATTATGGAAGCTCATCTTGAAGATTGCCTCCACTTCTGCGACCCGGGAGAGGAACTCCTGGTTTGGCGAGGCAAAAAGGTCCCTAACAGGAACTTTCACACCAGTGACAGCCCCTGAGCTAGCACCAGTGTCTATTAATGCTGTCAAGAGAAAATAATGTGATTTCCCTGGATTGACAACGTCCACAGCGACATCTTTAGCGGATTCGAACAGTCGGCGAACCTGGAATTCAACCTCGCCGAGTTCTATCCGTTGCCCACGTAGCTTGACCTGAATGAATCTTAGGATGAGAAAGTTAGATACCGCGGAGGGAATGCAAGCCCATACCTGATTACCCTTCCGTCCCATGAAGACGAGTGGCCCATCTCCACTTGAGCTGTATCTCACCAGATCTCCAGTTCTGTAGCATTTCAGTCTCTCTACTCCTCTTAAAGACTTGAGCCAGCTTGGTGCCTCGATAAACGCTTTTGAAGTTCTTTCAGGATCGTCGAGGTATCCCATCCCAACTATAGGGCCTTCGATTAAGAGCTCCCCAATAGCACCAATAGGTACTTGTTTCTCCGTGTCATCCTTCGATACAATCCAGCAGGCTGCGATATGAGACCGCCCAATATTCATGGGCTCGTCACTGGGTTTGATCCCAAAATTAGCCGTGGTCTGTACAGCATACTCAGCAGGACCATAGGAATTGATCACGACATGTTCTGACCACAACTCAATTTCGGGGAGCTGCGGTGCTTCGCCTCCCACTGTAATACTTTTCATCGACGGAAGATTATGAGGACTTAGGGAACGCAATAAGGATGGTGAGATTGCCATCTTGTTTGCGCCGTATGTGGAGACCACTTGTGGCAAGTTATCGTGCATTTCGGACTCCTTGGGTATCAAGACACATCCTCCATGGACTAATGTGTAGAAAATCTCTGAGATGCTCACGTCGAAGGCATAAGACGCAAAATGAAAGATGCGCGACTCTTCATTGTAGAGAAGTTTCTTACCAGCAATTACTGCATTGGTAGCAATAGCAGTGTGAGGTATGACAATTCCTTTCGGCTTCCCAGTCGAGCCAGATGTGAACATGATATACGCCGGATCATTAGGAGATGCCGTCATCTCGAGCGAGTCGTCGCATGTGTTGATCAGATCTTGGGTACCGTTTGTCAAAGTGAGCCAGCTGATATGGAGTTCCGGGAAATTGACTTCATCCGCGGTTGTTGTAATTACGACAGTAGCCTTGACAGTTTGGACCAGAACAGCCAGTCTATGGCTTTGTTGTGGATAGGCTAGAAGTACGAACGCCCCTCCAGTCCTCAAGATAGCCATCACCGCAACAAGTGTCCATTTCGACTTTGTGGCATAGACAGGAACATAACTGCCCGGTCTGATGTGGTACTTCCTCCGCAATAGGAGCGCGAGGGACCGAGAGAGCCACTCAAGCTCTTGATATTGTTGGTTTCCGTCTCAGGCCACGGCAGCTTTGTCGGAACGATCGACTGATCGCTGATCAATCAACTCGTGTAGAGTCACGCGCATGCCCGATGATACCGACTCATTCCAGCTTGCTCTAGCTGACCCGAGCTTACAGCCAGGATAGAGTCCAGTGTAGCTGAAGGGAACAGAAACACCTGACCAACCAAGTGCTGAAATTGGCTAACGAACCAAGATATTTCTGTGTGAGAAATGCAATTTGGATCAAAGAGAACTTCGATGTTGTGATATTTTAGCTTGTTGATTCTGGTGTACAAACCACTGTCAATGGGTAGGTATTGAAAGCTATTCCTCGCTGACAGGTAGAATAGGTAGAAAATGGGGGTAGATGATTGAAGCGTTTATCGGCCTCGGACTGAAGGATCAGGAGGTTGTGAAACTGACATGCAGCCTTGCACGCATCACTGAGCTGGCAGACTGTAGTTGGCGAAGGTCGCTATCCTGGTTGAGCGTTGTTGCACAGCCGCTAAAGCATCCATTACCGTCACTTTAGACTTGAGTTGAACACCGAATGGAACAATCGACATTGCTTGGCTGGTACTGCTATATGTCTCTCCAAGCGACACGTCTCGACCAGATGCAGCAAAGCCAAATATGACCTCCAGCGACATTGTATACTGAGAGATGACAAAAGCCCATGCAAGTTGAAGCTTGGATGCCAGTGTATTGTCCAACGCATCATTGTGAGGCAGCTGAAAATTTGTATTGATTATCTCATGGTCATTACTCCCAGAAGAAATTGTTGAGATAACAGGAAAACATGATGATGTTTGGAAGGGCGCAAGCTCTTCCTTCCAGAAGTCTTCGCCCTTTGCCATTGATGGCTATGCGTGATGTGCTGTCAAATACTCACAGTCGGTCTGCACGAAGATTTGAATTGATCACTTTGCAACAATTGCAAGTGTCTATACGAATATCATATGCATGCAAGGGTCATTATGCCTCTGATTCATTCTGATATCCAATCCAAAGACATGCGCTCTAGTTCGGCCGTTCTAGAGAAGTAACTTTCTCAATCGTACTGTAGATAGCTATGTGAGCATGGAATAAAAGGATAGCAGCAAGAATGCAATTTTAGCAGGCTTCTTGTGCAGAGCTGGTCTTTTCTTACATAGAATTGCAATCGGCGGTGGGGAGGAATGTAGAGGAATGTTTTTCAATTGCATGAAAACCTTATCGATGGCATGGTAAGACACATCCAAAGGATCATTATGCATCGCCTTGGTCTGCATGGTGAGTGGCGGGTGAAAATAGCTATTAAGCATGTAGCCTCCTCATAAGATAGGTCCCTGAATTAAACAATTCTATCTAGTGGCTACGATCAATCACTCACTCATCCAATACAATGTCTCAATCAATCTTTCATCCCCTTTTATGTGACACATCCTTGCCTATACCCTACTGTAGATTAATGTATACGCAAGATATACAATCTTTTTTCCTTACCGCCAGAGGAAAGGATCACCTCTAAAAATTGACAACTTCAAGCAATCTTTGACGTAAGAGTTGTTATTGGTTTCTGCATTGTCAGAATTTTCCTGGTCCGGTCTTTTTACCTAGTATCAATGAGTGGGACATCCCTAGAATGGAATGTTTAAATCTTCAGAGATAGCCCGCTCAGACTTACACATTGGAACTGGCACATGATATGAGCTACAGCACCTATTCATTTGTTTTTCCCTTCTTTCTTGCCTGCCCAAAATGCCGAATATTCTGAGACAGTTTACGCTTTCTGCCGCAGAGAATGCTCTGGAGACAGCTATTGCCGTAATAGCGGATCAGGAACACGAGCATTACTCTATATACGAGTATCGAGATACCTGGTATATCGGCTTGGTAGCCACACAGCTTTGCAAATCGATCCCACCGGACATGAAGCGACCACTTCCTATGATAATAAGGATACGGAATCGTTTGCTGTGAGCGAATCACTCAGCAGCATCACCAGGAAGCTCATTTCAAACAATGCATCTCACGCGAAGGTCTTTGGCCAAGTGGGTTTCGAGTACGGTGCCCATGTCAGAGGGGAGGCATACAAGCCCGGCAAATGGCCTCTTCTGAGCTTGATGATTCCCAAAATCCAAATTTCTCTACACAAGGACAGAATCGATGTGTTGGGGTATGACGAGGAGGAAACCAAGGCAATTTGCAACTCGATACAGAAGCACCCCAACTTGTCTGCCGCCGGCAATGCCGAATCATCTTGCCAAAGCATCGACTTACGAACGAACTTGGAGAAATATATGTCTCGAGTCGGGAAAGCAATATCTGACATCCGGAAAGGTCTTTACAACAATGCAGTCCTGTCCCGAGAGATCAGCGTTCCGTTCCGGGTTGACATGCTGGCTACTCTCCGCCGTAGTCGCCTGCCGAATACTCCGGCTCGGACTTTTTCTTTCAACCATATGGGTCTCCAGGCAACTGGATTCAGCCCGGAAGTGCTACTCGCTGTTCAAGACGGAAATGCATCAACTGAAGTGGTAGCTGGAACATGCACAGCCAATGAAGCCGATCTTTGTGCGAGTCAGAAGAAGCTGTTGGGCGACCCCAAAGAAGTCATGGAGCACCTGACGGTGATAAGAGGCTTCAACGGGCAGCTTGGAGTCTCATGCATCCCAGGCAGTACGCGGATTGAGGATCTTAATGTCTGTCATTGACCGTGGAAATGTCCACCATATCTCTCTTGTGTCCGGACGCCTGCTGCCCGATCAGGATGGGTGGGATGTACTTGCCCATATGCTGGGGTCTGTGACGTCGCCGTCGCTACTAGCAGAGCTGCGCGATGATATAGTGCAAGGCCTCGAACCTTGCCTAAGGGACCTCTACTTTGGTGCATTTGTGATGTTTGACCTGGAGTTGGACTTTTTTGATTCTGCACTTGTCCTTCGCACAGTTTTTCAGGACGAGAAGCGGCAGTGGCTGCGAGCAGGTGCGGCAGTTACGAAAAACTCTACGCCTGAACGAGAATTTGAAGAGACCTATGAGAAATTGGAAAGCATAGCATCTCATGCCATCACGGATGCGACTCTGTAGTCGGGGACAAAAGTTATTACCGGGAAACAGAACCTGTTGGATAGGCATCGGAGCCGGTCATCGTAGAAGTGTGAGTGGTAGTGATTGTGTTCTGGGCGTCGCAAGAAGTGACGATCGAGCAGGCGAACTGGGGAGCTCATGGCTGGATCACGCACGCGGCGCTGAATTGAGTCGCCGTCTGTGCTTGACACAACGCGGCGGTGGGGCCCCCTTGGAGCGATGCGTGAGGAATCACATTGTTGGCTGTGATGGCCCCGTTGTTGAAGTAGATCCATGACAATGCAAAGACCCCGACAGCCAAGGCATGGAGATGAGTTGCGCTGATGGTCGGGTTCAGCCGATGGGCCTGGGTCAGTGCCCACTACACGACAGCATTCAGACCTGCCACAGGCTCCGCGTTTGTCGACGGAACACGACCTTGGTTCATGACAAGCCAGTTAGGATAGCCCTCCCGACCGATACCGTCAACAAGGATATTCTCGGCGCCACAGATGATGCTGGTCATGTCCAGTGAGCGAGTCTGGAGGGAGGAGGAAGAGAAAAATTCGTCGCCCATCTCGCAATTGTGTTTTCCGAGCCAGAAAGCAACGCCTGGAGATGCGCCGCGACTTTCGAGTCTAACACGATGCCCAGGTCCCCCTTGCTCGCACCGTTGATGGCACTCGCAAAGGCTAATCGTGGCTGGCAGTCCAGTCGCCTTGTCCTGTTCTGCAGGCTGTGCTATGGTCTGCTCTGGCTTGAAGGTTTCAGTAACCCAGATAATGGCAGTAGCAGTCTCCAGGTCGAAAGAGTCCTCCAATTGATCCGGGTGGACCTTGATTGGTTCTGAGATCACATTGTCTTTCTTATGGAAGTCGGCTATTATATAGGAGACGACTAACATAGCAGCAGAACATAGATAAATTGAGTTGCGTGGCTCTAGACCGCGCTGGTGCAGACTGCGGGATTGGAAATCTGGCTTGGGCTCTCAAGGACGTCCAGGACCTCTTTATAGCATTTTGAGTCAATATCCGCCGTGCAGTCGGTATCCATCGTGGATTTCAGTTTGGTCTTCATATCTGGAGACAGGAACACCAAAATCCCATTATCGACCGGGTCACCCACTGAGGTAACATCAATCACGGACCTGGTGAGGATAGGTGTAGGGACCTAGAGAAGTGTTAGATGCTTTGAGGAAAGAAACCGGTGGGAATCGGTAAAGACGTACTCCATCTGTAGTAAACTGGCTAAGGTCGCCCACGGGAAAATACGCATCATTTGCACGAGAAAGTATGAAGAAGAAAGCGAGAGACAGTTAAAAGAGTGCCGGGGGCGCCATTGCGTCCAAAGAAAAAGAGAGTGGTATGTTTGCGAATCTCGAGAGAGGCTCTGGAAAAGGTGTGTTGGCTCTGCTAAATATACCAATCAAATATTTTATAGATATTGAGCTTGTTAACAAAGTTTTGTACCTTGCTTTGCTCCGGTGAAATGCCAAATTCAGACAAGCTTGCTGTACAGAGGAAAATTTCAGAACTGTGGAAATGAAAGTAAGACAAGTGGAGGTCGACGTGATAAGGCTTGCAACGCTTGTACATACTCTGTACACACACATATCCTGGCTACTATACAGATTCCCTAGCTCAAGATCCTGTGGTCCTATAAGCCCTACGAAGCCCCGGGACCGACAATCAGCCGGCACCATACCGAGAACGGATCCAGTCGGAGATTATTCCTTTAGAGAGGCGACCTAAATGGATCAGTCTAGGGGCAACTACTACCATGGAAATCTGTGTGAGTTCTCCGCCCAAGATCAGTACTCTGGCTCATCTCAGGTGGCTTTCGATAGTAGGGTGGAGATGTGTGGGGATACAATGCTTTTCAATTGTCTGGGTTTTGGTAAATTTTAAGTACTTAATACTTTGAGACTACAGAAGTCTTCTATATTGACCATACTCTACGATATTGCTTCCATATAATGATTCAGATGTTTAGAGAAGGCACATTTCGAACAGCCCGCCATGCAGCCTGTATAACCGTGTAGCTTATAGCGAGGCTTGACTGTATTGTACCGATACCTTGGGACGAGTGGGCAGTAAACTCCGAAAGTTTAAGCGCTCCCCCACTTAACGGCTAAGGCACAGGCTGCATGATGCATCTCAATAAGAGTGGGGCCCTGAATATGATACTAAGCGGATTAGGAAAAAGAAAAATTACTTTGGGGTCATTACTAATGTCAATAATCTAGGTAGTTACCACGATCTAGTCACGCCAAGGGACAAGCACTACTCCGGAACAAAATGTTTAAGGTCTATACATACGTTCTACCGGTAGAGTGCAGTTCATATAAGCCCCCTGAACTGACTACAATTGCCTGATCTTGAATGGCCAATTGAAGGGATTTAAATGAATTATAAATCTTCCTTACTACAAATAAGGCCCCTATCTTTACAATCTGTTGAACTTCAGAATAACAAGAAAATTCGCAACCAGAAGAATTCAATGATCGAAAGTAATTTCCTGACTTGGTTAAGTGATCGGTTGAGTGCTAACCGGTATTCTATCAATGCGTAGATCACCGATTGGCGTAGATTGGCAATCGAGGAGCTTTCTAGTAGGGTAATCGACAAATTCAATGCGGGGCCACCCGGGGTTCGCCGCTGGCCACTTGTATATGGCGACCGTGATTCACATCATAAATTACTGATTATGGGAACAAACCGCCAGTTTATAATACAGGATTACAAGGGACCTGGTCTCCTGGAATTAATAAAAGCTAAAACACATTATATAGTGGTTAAAAGAATAGAAGATATTATTTCACATATCTTTTGCTTGGTGTATGGGCTAGTGTCTGTTGATAGACTTTTTTTCTCTTTAGCAAGGTGGATAAGTAGGGCCCTCTAAGGGGAGGGCCAGACGCCGAAACACGTCCTTATAAAGTGCTCGCTGCACCTCGCTGGTCGGAGAATAATGATGGAACTCCTCGACTCTATCGAGGGACGGCGTGGGCGTATGCAAGACTACGACGCAGTCATGAATCACCCGCAGGCGATACGCTACGTCGCCGAATTCATGCAACGAACAGGCCTCCTCCAGCAGTTTTAATTCGCTACTTTCAACGACGATGAGGACGAGGGGCCCTTGGAACCCAGCACTCTCCTAGAGGGACTCGATCTAAATGAGGAAGACGATGGTTATATAGAACACTAAGAGCCAGGAAGTCTCAACTGGCTACGTGATACACACAGGAACAGTGGATCCCACTGGAATACCACAGATAGAACGGAGTGGAAGGAGAGAACAGCGTCTAGGGGCGCAGTAGGAACGCGGCAGGCGTGTGGCAGCCGGTTTAGTTGTGTTATTTTTGATCTCTTTTGTCTACTGCATTGGGTTTATATGGCGTACGGGCTCGAGATTCTGCTTCATTCGGCAAAGCGCCTGCATAGCCTGTCGTTCCATAAGATAGGATCCACCAGGTTAATAGAACTTTGATTGATTGATTGATTGATTGATCTAAGGGGAGGGTCCTTAAAGGTGGGCTCAGTGTTGATACGGCTACCTAATAATTGTATAGTATTGGGCGTGTAATGTGCTATGTGGGTGTACCTACCTTAGGCGTAGGGCTACTCAATTACTGCCCACCTTTCCACGCGGTATACCTAGCACTGGACAGAGATTTTTATGAGGTGGAAACCGCCGTTGTTTATTTAAGGAAGGGATACCGCGGTCCATTCACGTCGGAGAGCATTTTCTTTCTATCTCAAATTGAATATACGATAAAATCGGTCTTCGTGTCTTGATTCTTTCTTGTCTTTCACACCCCAGCTAGCCTGAAGCCATAATAAGTTCGGCTGGTTGAGTATAGACAAATTCAAGTTTACTATACATTCTAGCATTGAACATAGCATGCCTTCTACCTATCTAAAACCTTGCTGTGGGTCTACTAAATCAGCATTTATACCAACTCCCACTATCTCATTCAGGTTCACCTACTTATCCCCACATACAGTACAACTATCCCCATTGCCCGATAGCAGTATCAAGCATGAGACTACTGTGGTTACTACTAACATGACTCGCTTTCGGCGAAGTCTCTGCGAGGAGCAAGTGCGGACTTCAGATCGCCGATAGCAGTAGCAGCAGCAGCAGCAAGCACAGTGTAGGATTTCTCCGAATTGAGCGCAATGTGACCAGGACAACGAAAGCCACGGCGGCTCTGGGAAAACGGATGATGGGGCCGGGAAGGGCATGGGCCAGATTCTACTATGAAGAGCTCCCACATCTTTCGAAAAAGATCGTGGTACCCCCCGAGGATGAGGACGATCCAACCGATTACAGTGCGGCAATCATGCAGCAATACAGATACATGCGGGGAGAGTTCCGTACCGGCATCGAGGGCCTCAAGGGGTGCACTTCTCTGTACATTATCAGCCGCAAAGCTGTGTATGCGACACACTGGTGGGAGGATATCTCCTTCAACCCGTCCGCGTATTGGGCTGCATATGACGATGACGAGTTATTCCAGTTTACCGTCACCGACATGTTACGGGATGGAGGGAAATTCCACGCCCCCCTCGACGCTAATAAGATCGTGGACGACTATATTAAAGTCTACCACATCCGCTCAAACGCGGTCTATAGGCAATTGATAAATATGGGTGGAAATGAGCTGGGTTACAGTGAACAGTGGGATCAGACTAAAGCCACGGTCGGCGAGCTGGTGCCCAAGCTTATAGGCCCTGCGCGCTGGAGAGATGTTGAGTACTATTCGGCGGACAACAATAAAGTGCACGATAGTAAAACGTTAGACAGAGGAAATAACCTCTTCAAATATGACAAAACTCATGTTATAGGCGAGGGTTAGAGATAGAAAAGGGCTATGCTATGGGTTGAAAGGCAGTTGATGCATGAGGATGCATGGTAGATAATTTATATCATTAGGCCTGTATGATTACTTTTCAATTAATCAAAATTCTATTAACCTGACAAAATCTATCTTTTCTATGCACTATGTATTACTTTCACTTCGCCCAAATGTAAATATTATATACTTAGCTTAGACCTTGGTTTGGTCCGGAAGTACTATAGGTAACCCAGGCAGCCCAGGCAGCTCAGATTATCTGGACAGATGGATCTAGACTAGATGATGGAGCAAATTGGAGCTGGAATAGCATGGCAAACCCAGCAAGGCTGCTGGAAGACAAAAACATTCCTAATGGGAAAAGGATATGAAGTCTTCGATGCAGAGCTTCTAGGAGTCTACCAGGGACTACAGCTAGTGAGAAAGATGGGAAGCCAAGGACCAATTACAATATTACTCGACTCCCAAGCAGCTGTACGCAGGCTAAAACATGCAGAACCTGGACCAGGTCAGACAATAGCTGCTGATATACGCACTGCCGCTCAGGACCTGCTATCTAGGGGCCAAGATCAAATAATTCAATGGGCCCCAGGACACGCAGGTATAGAAGGAAACGAAAGGGCAGATCAAACAGCAAGACAAGCTGCAATGCAAGCACCGGGACCAGGCTGCAGAGAGATCTCACAAGCATTTACTCGCAGAACCCATACAGAGGCGTTGAGAATAAACAGACAACACTGGCTAGAGAATAGTCTTAACCGGAGATCACGAGCGATACAGAGAACCTATACATCTGGAAGAGGCTGGCAACTGGATCCTATAGCAGCAACAGCTACTAAGGGTCTAACTAGCCGATACTTCCAGATGAAGGTAGGACATGCAGCTATCGGATCATACCTACACCGCATAAGATTTCGGGAAAGAGAGACCTGCCAAAACTGCCAAGCTCCTAGGGAGACAGTCTCTTACATACTAGTCAGCTGCAGGCAATGGCGACGGCAACGAGAGGTGCTATATACAGCTCTAGATAGAGCGGGAATAGCAAGGCCTTCTGTACAAGAAAATCACCCGGAAAGCAGGCTCTTTGGGGAGTTTAAAGCTACTAAAGCCCTACTGGACTTTTTAGCTAATACAGACGTGGCCCTTCCCGGAGGTCAATACCAGAACGATCAAGACAGAGAAGAGAGAGACAATGAATGGGGCCTAGAAGCCCTAGAGAAAGCTGAACGAGCTGGAGAAGGCTAACAGGAAGGGTAGCCTGAGCACGCCTAGGCTATACCCATCCTGCTAAAATCCGAAGGAGAGCAAGCACGCTCTGCGCGAGAAGGCGATATGGGGCGAGGAAAAGGAACAAAGTGTATTTAAAACGAGGGGATAGCTCTAGGAACTGATAGGGGTCTGAGGCCTAGCCTCAGGCCGACGACACACGGTCTATCATAGCCCCAGGGGCTCGGTATGGACAATAAAATTGATTAAATAATAATAATAGACCTTGGTCCTACAAATATCGAGCATCTTATGTTTATCGTTTATTTGTCCAGATCAAGCTCTTTTAAGAGGGTATTCAACTCTTTGGCCATCCGCATGTCGTCAACCCCCTTGCCGGGTCTGTGTGACGGTCTACAAAGGAGCTTAGTAAAAGACAAGTTTGTTTCTGACTCATAGTCAAGAATTTTCCCATGGAGAGGAAAGGCTATCTAGGATGGAGGATCTAGAGCTTCTATATACTGCCCGAGGCTTGGCCTCAGGCAGGAATGCCTGCAGAGCATCCAGGAACCTTCCTGGATGCCTACCGGAGGGTCCCTCGATCCTATACTAACTAACCAGAACGTTCCTCCGCACCGGGAAGTTCCCTGATTTCAGGAGGTCACAGTCTGATGAATCCTAATTGCTGGACCCAGCCTGTTCAAAGCATAATGCCGTGACACAGAAGCTCGCCTGTGGGTGTGTCATGACTGCGTCGTAGTCCTGTATACGCCAGCACAGTCCCTGGAACGCGTCGGGCCTCAATCAGTTTCCTACGGTAAGTAGTATATAGCGAGCACTCTAGTATAATATAAAGTGAGGCTCAACGCTTCTGTCAGTCGGAATAGACATGTCCAACATGCAATGGGTGAAATGTTGATATAGACACCTGGTTGCTACCAGCCGTTGATGTTGCGCGGCTGAGTCGTTTGTTTGGGATTTCTCGTTTTGGAACCAAAACCCAGCAACAAAATCACGATGTTTGTCATTTCATAACCGTGGTCTGGGCTCTTTTACCGGCTCATTCACAATTAGGTCAGAAAATTTTTCATGTCCACTTAGCATTTCCTTCTTTACCTTTTTCTCCTCTGTGCACATCTTCTCGTCGTTGCCAGTGCATGCGTGCTTGCTGATACCTATTCCATTCGATTGATCAGTGGGAGCTGCACTGAATAACTTTCAAGTGCTTTCATATTCCTCCAGTCACTCCACCATGGATCCTCCTCAGGACTTTGTCATTCCGATAATGACTGATCGCTCATCTGCTTCTGGCACCCAAGAAGAGATCATTTTCCCTCTGACTCCCATTTCCCCCGTCTCCAAAGATCACATCTTTGACGTAAAAGGAATTAAGGATCACATTGATCTGCTGGCTCAGGTGAGATCTGAACAGGAAGGTGAAGAGGTTTCGTTGGCTCCTATTGTTGCAGGTCGTGCCCTGAATGTCCCTTCCAATGTGTCGAGCCAAAGCAAGATAATGTTTCCAAAGTTGCAGCAGTATGGCCTGTTGGCAGGGTTGACTCCGATCATGGAATCTCAGAATGACGAGCTGGCGGAAGGCATGTGCAGCCCAAATGACCCTAGAGTTTTCTACAATGTGACCTCCCCGTCCAGCACTTTCATCTGCGGCTCGCAGGGCTCTGGAAAGAGTCACACTCTGTCTTGCATGCTTGAAAATTGTTTGCTTTCTTCCAAGGCTGGACATCTTGAGCATCCGTTGACTGGCCTTCTCTTTCACTATGATTCATTCATCGGCGATACTATGGGCTCGCCCTGCGAGGCTGCGTATTTGTCATCGAACCCTGATGTCAAAGTGAGAGTTCTCTGCTCACCAACTAACTTTCGAACCGTCGGGGTGAGTAAATTTAAATCCACTTGTCCGTGATATGGAACTGACTTGATAAAAGGCCGCTTATTCGCGACTCAAGAACGTTGAGGTTGAACCTCTTCAGATCGACGAATCAGATCTCAATACCCAGAGGATGCTTGACCTTATGGCTGCCAGTCAAGGTGATGGCCCAATGCCGCTGTACATGCACACTGTGCTGCGCATCTTGAGAGAGCTTCGCACTGAGCAGCAGGAGACTGGAGCGGGTTTCAATTATGAGGAGTTCAAGAGCCGTCTCCTGGAGTCAAATCTGACCAGCGCGCAGATTGAGCCGTTGAAGCAGCGCCTTGATACATTGGAAAGCTTCCTGTCGAAGCCTCAGATTGAGTTCGGTGGTCGTGGCAAGAAGAGCAAGAAGGTCGAAAGGCGAGGCTCAGTTTGGGATCCCGTGGTAAGAACTCCTATGATTACTGCTCTGCACAACATGTTTGCTAATGACATTAGCCTGGTCGGTTGACCATTGTTGATCTGTCTTGCCCTTGCATCTCGCCGGATACGGCTTGTGGCCTATTCAACATCTGTTTAGGCATATTCCTAGAGCAGGATCAGTCGGTCGGTCGTGTAGTTGCGTTAGATGAGGCTCACAAGGTTTGAATTCATAACATATTTTTCCTCTTACCTTCACCTCAGTATCACCATATTTGGTCTGACCCCTATTGATCTCATAGTACATGAATTCATCCGCGGAAGCAAGCGCATTCACAAATACATTATTGATGGTTGTTAGACTTCAGCGCCATCTAGGAGTCCGGGTCATTATCTCAACCCAGGAACCGACCATTTCTACTGCTCTGTTGAATCTGTGCTCTGTTACCATCGTTCACAGATTCACCTCTCCGGAATGGCTGCGGGTTCTTCGTCACCATCTCGCTGGCGCTTCCGATAATTGCTTCGCGTCTAAGACAGGGTCCGAGGTTGAGAATGACGACCACAGCGAAGAAGACGAAACAGAGCCACTTTTTGATAAAATTGTGCGTCTTGGTGTTGGACAAGCGCTGCTCTTCGCTCCGAATGCTACTGTCAGAACCACCGTAGACGATGATGGCAAGGTGACGGTTCACCAGCTGGGTGCTAGACATTTGACTGTCAAGACTCGAGCTAGACTGACTGAGGATGGAGGAAAGACTAACCTGTCGATGTGATGAGTTTGGGCTTCGGTCTGGCGAAGTTGTTGCTTTCTGAAGGGGTGAGACGATCTTTCAAGTTGTTGACGAAGGAAGAAGTGCGCTGTTTTGTTCATTTTGCTTGTTATGCTTGGTTTGCTTAGTTTGTCTGTATTGTCTTCTTGTCTCGTGATCAGGGCTGTATCCCGTTGAGAGTTATGTGAGGCACAGACGATATTTTCTGATCCACCGCTGTTGTCGACTTCGCGCCCCTAGACTTTGCTATTCCGTGAGGTCAGCCTCAGAAGTTCGCAATCTGCATGTTTTTTCTTATCATTAGTCAGTATGAATTCAGGATATCCTATCCCACTCTCCTACATGTTGCAATTCCCAACCCTCTCCGGAGTACTCCGGAGTCTACTCAATCATCGATAATCATAAGCTAAGAATCAGTCAGCATCTTAAAGACTCTTACCTGGTTAAGGACCAGTCCAGAAATAGAGCAAGGGGTTCCACCAGCGCCGATCAGCGGCGATTGGTGAGGTTCAAGTAAGCGACCAGTCAGCAAAGCGGGCGCTCAATCCCCGCCATCATTGGCGCTCTTCGGTATCCATCCGTTACCTACCTCTGGCATTGGAAGTTTGGAACCAGCCAAGGCGCAAGAATGGGGGAATTAAAGCCGCAAGATGTCGGAAATCTCGCAGTGCAAACCCCGCATGTCAATTTTTGGCGTCAGTGGGGTCATTTTCCGAATGGGCCGTCTGGGCCTATATTAGTATATGTTTTCCCCAGTTGTTTCGTTCGTCGCTCTTCAATTGCATACCTCCTGAATCTAAAACGATGCCGGTTTTCACAGAACACGCCTCGTCGGCACGCGACCTCCGCGTGCTGCCATCTTTCGCGCCACCTCTACCTCGCCTTTCTCCAGCCTTCACTTCCAATGCCGACCGTGATTCTGAACGTTATGAGGTCGTTATCGTCGGCGCCGGTCCGGCGGGTCTCATATTGAACGTGCTTCTCGCGCGCTACGGCCTCTCCGACACCTCTTTGCTCTGCATCGACGCGAAACCCGGGACTCTGGTATCGGGACAAGCGGACGGGCTGCAACCGCGCACGCTAGAAGTCCTAAAGTCACTAGGTCTTGCGGACGAGATTCTCAACGATGGTTGCCACATGGCGGAAGTGGCGTTTTGGAATCCCTCCGAGAACAAAGACGAGGTGATCAAGCGTACCTCGATCGTGCCGGACGTGGCTGTGCCGGCGCGATTCAAACACGAAGTCACGATCCATCAGGGCCGCATCGAGCGGATCCTAGAGACGGATCTCTTGCGGTATTCGCGACGCGGAGTGCAGCGGAACACAAAGCTTTTAGACATGCGCATCGACGAGAACGGGGACGCAGAGTTTCCGATCCTCGCAGAGATCGAGACAGAGGGACAACGGAGGACAATTCGATCGAAATATCTAGTCGGTGCAGATGGGGCGCATTCGGTCGTTAGACGGTGCATGGGCTTAAATTTGGTGGGCGAATCCATGGATCACATTTGGGGTGTGGTCGATTTGGTGGTCGATACTGATTTTCCGGATATTCGACGACGGTGCGCGATTCATTCACCCGCGGGATCGGTCATGGTCATTCCGCGGGAGCGCATTGCGACGGGGGAGTACTTGACAAGGTTGTATGTCCAAGTGCCGGAGGACGAGGCCGTGAACGGATCTGGAGACCAGAAAGGTCGTGCGAAGGAGCGAAGGTCGAAGGTGACATTAGAAGGGATCTTTCAGCAGGCGGTCGGTGCTCTGAAACCATATTATATCCGACCGAAAGACGAGGGAGCGGTGGATTGGTGGGCAGCATACCAGATCGGCCAGCGAGTGACGGATGAGTTTGCGGTAAAGGACTCGAAGGGTGTCAATCGAGTTTTTATAGCGGGAGATGGTAAGGTTCTCTGTTCCAGCTTATATGAAGTTTTAGCTGACAGCCATGGAAATCAAAAGCTTGTCATACACATAGTCCCAAGGTTTGTGCAATTCAATAATAAACTCAACTTATTTGTTAACATGACTTACAGGCTGGCCAAGGCATGAACGTGTCCATGATGGACTCGTATAATCTGGCCTGGAAACTAGCCCACTCTATCAACGGCCTTACCCCAGAACCAGACGACAAAGAGACAACCGATCTTATTCTTGACACCTACCACACAGAACGCCATACGATCGCTCAGGAATTGATCGAATTTGACCGCGCGTTTTCATCCATGTTTTCAGGGAAAATAGGATCCGCAGATGACGGTGTAAACGAATTGACCCATGAACAATTCTTGAAAGTGTTCAGCACAGGCAATGGATTCACCTCTGGTTGCGGAATTGAATACCCCGACAACCTGATGATTGAGAAATCACCCGGCGCAAATTCTGAATATCCAATCCAACGCACAGACTATCTCCTAGGAGTCCTTCGACCAGGAAGACGACTATTAGATGTGCGGCTGAAGAGACACGCCGACGGGGTTCACATCCACCTACAAGATGGTACTTTCCCTTCCCACACTAGTTAGGCAAATCACTAATATAAACTCCAGACTTCCGCTCAACCGGTCGCTTCCGCATCTTGTGTCTAACCTCGTCGGATCTACTCGACCCCCAGGGAACTTCGGCCAGAACATTAACGACCCTTGGATCTTCTGTTATTCCACGTTTTCCTCACTCCGTCGTCGAACAGGTAGTTGTCCACCCACGGCTGTCTAGATCCTTCACCTGGCGAGATGTGCCCGCCGAGCTGAAGAAATACTCCGAAATGCGTTTCCACAACGGTTGCGAGATTGATGACGCGTACAAAACGTATGGTGTGGATGCAGACCAGGGAGCTCTGGCTGTTATTCGGCCCGATGGGTATGTAGGAACGGTGGCAGCATTGGATGATGTGGAAAGCGTAAAGAGATACTTAGAGCGGTGTCTGCGGATTGTTTAGACGAGTGGATAGATTAGAACATATTGCGATGTTACATGGGTCTCTAAAACGAAGAAGCAATCGGCTTAGAATGATTTTTTTTTTTTTTTTTTTTCCATTGTTGTCAAGTCTGCGGGTATGTGCTGGAGGTTGCGATGCTAACTTGTACCATGTGAGTCACGGACGGCATTATTTATACTTGCATTAAAAACAGAGATGTATATATTCCGGAGTAGAAATACGATTCAATGAATCTGGAAGCGACAAAAATAAAAGAGTACAATTATAGGGACAAAACATGGTCAAACGCACTCCCTGGAGTAGAAAACACACCTAGAATAGTCTACAAACCATCTATATATAACAACCCTACCAAGTTCAAATGTCAACAGGACCCAAACTCCGCAGATTATAAATCTCCGTTGGCTAAACGGCAAGACAGCCAAGGGTGTCCAAGCAGAGGAGCAAGATGAGCATCCAGGCCAGCCCAAAACCGCCTCCAGGCAGCGATGCATTGATCGACAATCCCGGCACAAAAGCCACTCGGGGTGTTTTATGCCTCTGCCAACCCAAGAATAGCAGCCGACCCGATTATCTTATCGATAAGCAGCATATCACGTGACCCCACCCGTGCCGAAGACCCGAGCAGGTCCACAAATCCTCCAGATTTTCCAGATCATTGCCTCGCCTCCCCCGTTGACTCAGGAATGATGGCTGTTGGAATTCCAGACGGCCTTAATGGAGCCAACCACCGAGCCCCGACTCCGGCACTGTTTCCTGTCAAGCTTTCACCACAAGCCAATGAGGGTCTTGCAGTTCATTGGCGAGAGGGTTTTCCTCTTCGCTTGTTGGCCCGTCGCAGCGTTAGTGGACACTTCGGTCTGAGCGCTCCACTTGTCGGGATTAAGCGCTTCGTATCGCCGATGCGGTTTGGCATGGTGGTCAGGCAGGAAAAAATCCTGGTAGGATTGTGTCGGTTGGTTGGAGTGGTTTGATCTTATAAAGTATGTGGGCTTTCCTGGTTTACTCCAACGCGATCTGTGTCTCGTTTTCTTGGCTTCATTAGCTCTTCTTTTATCCAGCGATACTCATATTGTTGGCCTGAGTCTGATCGATTTTAGAAGTGATTCATCATGGGGGCGAATCCGGAGCCACATCATGAAGACTCAACTCGATCACGATCAACCTCGATTTCCAGTTCAGATTCTGAGTTCCGCATCTCAAGGTCTGAGTTTAGACGGTCACAGCAATTCGGCTCCGTGAAAACAAGGTCCAGGTCCCGGTCTGTGCGAAGTACGCGGCGCATCGACAGGATCTATTCGGGACGGCACATAGACGATCAATCAATGTACCACAGTGACGATGATGCTGCCGATTATGAGGATTCCAATGACGCGAGGAGGGTCGATTCGGCTCTCGAGATTCGAGATGGAATTGTGAATGAGCGAGATTACGATCTGGAGCAGAACGGCAAATCTTCTGCTGGCCTTGAGAAATCGAGGACAGCGAGATCTGATCGATCACGAGATCTAACGCTGGTAGGCATTCCACTTTGCATGAGGTCTACATGAACATGACTGATCGATTAGGTTACATGGGCTGGCCCTGATGACCCCGAGAATCCCAAAAACTGGCCGGCAAAGAAGAAATGGGCTGCTGTGGTTACAGTATCTTTCTTTACTTTTATCTCACCCGTCTCGTCGTCGATGGTGGCACCGGCTCTGCAGTCTATTCGATCAGATTTCGATATCCAAGATGAAGTTATCTCGCAGCTTACACTCTCGGTCTTTGTCTTGGCCTACGCCGTTGGCCCACTGTTTTTGGGTCCCTTCTCCGAAATATATGGCCGAGTTATTGTTCTCCAGCTTGCCAATTTGTTCTTCTTAGTATTTAATATTGCGTGCGGCTTTGCCCAGACCAAAGTACAGATGATCGTGTTTCGGTTCCTAGCTGGTCTAGGCGGCAGTGCACCATTAGCTGTAAGTTCAGAGCTTCTTCACCTCATTATCACCTCATGCACTCTCTAACCAGTTCAGGTTGGCGGAGGCGTCCTCTCCGACTGTTTCAAACCCGAAGAACGAGGCAAAAGCATCGCCATCTACAGTCTCGCACCCCTTCTCGGGCCCGCAGTAGGCCCAATCGCTGGCGGATTCATCGCCGAAAACACCACCTGGCGCTGGGTCTTCTACTCGACTTCCATCGCGGACGGCGTCATCCAAGTCGCCGGCCTCTTCTTTCTCCGCGAAACCTACGCCCCCAAGATCCTGCGCGACCGCGCAAAAGCCCTCCGCAAAGACACCAACGACCAATCCTTCCAGACGGACGCCGAGCGCCAAAACAAAACCCTCCCCCAAGTCCTCCGCACCGCGCTCGTCCGCCCCTTCATCCTCCTTGCCACCCAGCCGATCGTGCAGGTCCTGGCCCTCTACATGGCCTACATCTACGGCATCATGTACCTCGTGCTCTCGACCTTCCCGGCCCTCTGGACCAGCCCGTCCTACTACAACGAATCCACTGGCATCGGCGGCCTCAACTACATCTCTCTCGGCCTGGGCTTCTGGCTCGGCTCTCAGATCTGCGCCCCCCTTAACGACCGCATCTATCGCCGCCTCAAGGCCCGCAACAACGGCATCGGTCGCCCCGAGTTCCGTGTTCCCCTCCTCCCCTTCGCCGCCCTCTTCACCCCCGCCGGCCTGTTCATCTACGGCTGGACCGCCCAGTACCGCGTGCATTGGATCGCCCCTAACATCGGAGCCTGTCTCTTCGGTATGGGCAATATCGTCACGTACCAGTGCATCCAGACATACATGGTCGACGCGTACACGCGGTTCGCGGCTAGTGCGTTGGCTACGGCCGCGTTCTTGCGATCCCTGGCGGGTTTCGGGTTTCCGCTTTTCGCACCGTATATGTATGACGGGTTGAATTATGGGTGGGGAAATAGTTTATTGGCGTTTGTGTCGTTGGCGTTGGGGATTCCGGCGCCGTTGTTTTTGTGGAGGTATGGTGAGAAGTTGAGGAAGATGAGTCCGTTTGCTGCTGGGTAGGTTGGTTGGTGCTTGGATTGTGTTTGCTGGACTGTAAATAGAAGTTTTGGGGATGAGTCATATAGTCAAATAGAAGCATGACTGTACATATGATTTGCCGAATGCCTCATTTTCTCACATCCCTATGGATATTTACGCATGCAGCCTGTTATGCATGCAACAAGTACCAAAACCTCTTTTTCCAGTAAGCCAAGGTTCACCATGATTTAAGTTGAAGGCATTCACTTGGACATAATTAGTTACAATCCTCCCCACCTTTACTATGCGTAAAATATGTGCCAGAGAAAGAGAGCAGGTTCAATATCACCTATGTGCACTGACAGACCACAACTAGCAAACTATAGACAACATCAACTTCATATTCACCTAGAACCTATTGCCACTGATATTCCACCTTCCCTGACCCCTTCACTAAACTCAAACCAATCGATCGGCAAATAACAGTCAATATCTTCCATTCCATCCCCCTCTCCTCACCTCAAGCCCCTTTCATTCGAACTCCTTCATCAGACAAGTTCAAATACGTACCCTCCTAACCCTCTAAGCAGAAGAGGAACGAGAAGAAGAAGGCGGCCCGCCAGGTCCACCCGGACCGCCGGGACCTCCCGGCCCACCACCACCCGAGTTCGGATTCTCCACACCACCATTCTCAGTATAGAACACGGCGGGCGAAACATCACTCGACTTGGTAGCATCAATACCCAGCGAGATCCAAGCAAACAAACCATCTTCAACGCTGTCGCCAAGATACACGTACTGCATGATCGGGTCAATGTATTGGGCTTCTTGGGACAGGATACCGTCGTTCGCGTTCGTGGTCAGGGGCTGGGTGTTGGCTTTGTAGACGGACGTCGCTTCGACTTCGGTAATCAAGTCCTGGTCGAAGTAGGTCTGCGTTACGTAAGAGGCGTGCGCGGTGTAGAGGTCCGAGAGCGTGTTGTTGGAGTTGACGGCGGTGCCGTTGGCCGCGTGGGAGAGCACTACCCGTGGGGGTTTGGGGTTAGTGTGTTGCGTGCTGCGTAGGGAGAACTGGAGCTTGGGTTGAGAGTAAGACGGGAGAACGGGGGGACTTACGATGGATATGGTGGGTACGACCGGTATAGTGGCCGGGGAAGATGGTCTCGAATTGGGCGACACCGGACCTGTCGGTTTTCTGGACGCCACGGAGGAAGGTAGCGTCAAGGTTAGTCTCATCGCCCTGGTTGCCGTTTCCACCGGCGAGAACTCCGGAGTAGACACCCTGTCATGTTGTTAGGACTTTCTTTCTTGTGAAAGGCAAAGATGAAAGAGGACAATGAGAGTGGGTGGAGCGTACAGTCGCGTTGCAGTGCCAAGCATCAAGATAGATGTTCGGGACAGGGTCGCAGGTGTTGGTGTCAATGATCTGGAAGTCCAGATACAGAGGAACACCGGCCTGGTTCTCAGAGATGTCCTCGCGGATCAGCTCACCGGTGACATCTGATAAGCGTTAGCTAGGGATAATGCTGGAGAGAGATGTAGAGGGTACGAACAGTAAGGTCCCTGGGTGACATCTTCGCCCAGAATGCAGGTTGCGTTAGACGCAAAGAGCACGGCAGGGTCAACGGTCTGATCCACGTCCAAGTCGGAGTGGTGATTGGTGTTGAGAACGTCGTCCAGGTCCCGCGCCTTGAGGTAGGTGGACCCTGCACTGTGTCAGTCCTGAAGACTCAATATGCAACGTAACTAGAAAAAGGGCAGCCTACGGCTCTGCAGTCCCTTGCGGCGACGCAGACGCTCAACGGTCAGCTCACGACGAGCGACGTTACGCGCCTCATGGCCACGGGCACGCAATTTCGTAGCGCAGTGGTTCAGGCTGCGGTGATGCACAGGAGCTCGCTTGAGAAAATCAGCACGTTCGGCGGCCTCCGCCTTGACGTCGTGACCCGGATGAGCCACTGCGAGACCAGCGAGGCTAACCAGGCCCGCAACGAGAGCAGGAGCAAGTTGAACCATGATGCAGAAGACCAAAGACCAGAGCTGAGAGTTCCGATGTGAGAGAGTGAAGAGAAAATGCCTGATGGATGATCAACAATTCCTCGGCCATCAAGGCACTTTTATACTTTGTCTTCCAACCCGGTCAACTCGGATATCCCAAGGCCAAGAATTGAGGAGATTGCCATGGATGGTGACGCAGCGGACGTAGATTAACCTTCACTGCTCTAGACCGTCGGATCGGGCGGCAGATGATGTTCAGCGACCTCCGGTAAACGTTCAGCATTGGATCCGCCAAGCGGAGAATTCTCCAACGATGAACATACTCCGTAGACAGACTAGTGTATTTCGCCTAATGTGACGGCCGCTGCAGAAGACAAGAAGGTTCAATGGCCAGGGGGATTTAGCCACAGGCTCGCGTTAGGGCTTCTCGGAAAGCCAACTAGCCAAGACAATCAAGAACAGGAACGACCAGGATCCCCACGGGCTGACGACGCGGCCCCAAAATTCCGCTGACCAAACACAAAATCAAAACCAACGAGTTGAAGCTAGTAAGCAACGGAGTCATAGCTAGGCAGAGATAGTGTTTTCTTGGCACGTATGCTTGCACCGGACTCCGCTGTGGCGTGCAATCTTATCCATCATAAGAGGTTGAAATCTCCGTGGATCAAGCTTATTATGCACAAAACCATCGGCGGCTTGGCACAGTCGCGAGTGATTAATGCAACGAATCTGATTGACGGATGGTGTTCGGACTTCCGTAGGCGACCAAGGTAGATTGATGCACATCGTAAAAGAGAAGGTTGTCGATCATTACCAAATTGTTCTCCTCTCCACAAGGCTTATGACCATCAAGTGCACGTACGGTGTACTCCGTGCATCCTTCTACAGCGGCTGTCTTGTATATCTTGGCGCAACAGCGGAAATCTTCCGTTCCGAGGCTCCCCGGTAGATCAAGGACAATGGCAATGCCGATTTGCATAAGCGATGTTTAGTGCTCCTGACAGCGATGAGGAGACGAAAATGTCCACCCGAAGATCTGCGCAGGAAGAAATTAGACCGAGAAAGACCCAGCAAAAGGCGATGATTGGAAAGAGCTGTACCTGATCAACAAGGTTAAGGGTTAGTTGCATGCCTGAATAAGCGGGCAGATTGTCCCCGGGGATATTAAATTTGAGGGCCAACACCCACCAAAGCGACCTAAGGATTGATAATCTCCTCACGGGGATTGGTTCCCTTCAATTTTTGTATCAACTCTGATGCAAAGTGGATGTCAGCCAAGGATCACATGCACCAACGTCTTATTGCAACGTCCGGTCCAAGTCCTGGTATATGGTGGTTGCGAGGGGTCTTTAGTTCTTACCAACCGCGTTATTGACGCGAATGCGGGAAGGGAGCACGCAAAGAGCAGAATTGGGCCATCGGTGGACTCCGCCGGAGCTGTGACCTAATTCTAATTAGATGGGCCATGGGGCGTGACCCTATCTTGGGCGCCTGCGTCCTGATCCTTTCGCCGGAGGGGCTAATAATAACATGCAAGTCTGGTTGGTCAATCTCCCTGCCCTTGCACATCTCCCGAGAAATGGCTAATATCCCCGCAGTCGGCATCGGCCAAATAACGCACAAGGTCGCCAGGAGTGGGTGATTGAGATAGATGCCCGCGTTCCTGATGGCGCTATCCATTGGGAGCCGTTTCACGCTAACGACGGCTGCCGCCCGTCTTCTTGCCACTATGGCCAGGGCTAGTTTGCATTTATAACGGAGCTTGTTTGAGAGGTGTGCTCAATCTAGGCCTCGTGATCTGTAAGGCGCCATCTGACGTCTTTGCGAGCGAATGTTGTATATGTGTTTTTCTACTTGGTTGATGGAAAATAAGATAGATTGGCATTCGACGGCCGGGAGCTTCAGAGCCCGCGAGGCATGGCATCGAACATATCGTCCTTGAGTTATTATTAATGCCTTCATTGTCATTGCCAAGACCAATAGCGCTGGATATATGGACAATATCTGACGTGGAAAACTAACAACTCCGTGGAGATCACTACGGATCCCTGGCCGTCATGAACATGAGGCATTGGTGGGATGTCTCCTCGTGGGGGCTTTGCTATTGTAGGCCCGCGACTTGAGGATTCGGCAAGGATGAGGATATGGCGAACTTTGCGCCTGTAGTTGAATTGAACTAGAAATCGAACTGCATTTGGGAACTTATTCTGGAGTGGACCGCAATGCTACCCAAGAATCGTAGATATGGAACACCCAGCCAAATATCTCGAATTTGGCTAATGAGAACGGGATGTTCTTGCCAATGGTGAAGCAACGAGATAAGCCGCGGTGCTTGGCTGCGGAGCCTGATAGTATCTCCATGGACCAAGTTCCTTAGCGTTTCCAGCGGTCGTAGTATTATCCAAACCAAAATGCAGAGCTCCCAGTAATTAAATTATCACCCGAAGCCGGTAAGAAGGTGCTATCTTCAGCGGCAATTTCGGGGAGTGACTATCTAATCAGAGCTTGCGCTTTTGCTGCCGTTTCGACTGTGAACTTTGACGACAGTCGTCGTCCGAATGTGCTTCCCGGACAGACTCTTCCTCCGGAAGGTATCACCGGATAGAGATAGGGTTAGGCTGCGTGGCCAAGAAATATTAGGCATCTTTGGCAGGAATTTGAAAAGCGGGCGCATGTTGGATAAACAAGCCGCTGTAATACCGACGGCCGGCTCAATGCATGTCCAGACACTGGGTTGCGTTTGCGCATCTAAAAAGACTGGTCAGAATTTATGGGGCTAAACAGGGAAATGAATAAGCACATACATGTAATGTCATTTCCTGCCTCCGAGAGCTCAACCATTGCGACCAGGCGAATAATGTCAAAAATCAAAGTTCTAGCAAAAATCAGTGAGAAGTCCAGCAGGACCAGGGATGGGGTTTCGCACAAGAAACCGAGCAGGAAAATGCCCGACAACGCCACCTTCTGCGTCCTAGGCACATGCAGGTTCCACACGACCTTCATTGGCATCCCCAAAATGATGGCGTCAGTGACGATATTCGGGATCTGTAAGCCGTAGTAGAATTTGGGAAGGTCGATGCAGCCGCCAGGAATAGTGGGATCCCACAACTTTCGGAAAGGAATGCACGTTAATGCGCCGACAAGGCAGACACCGTAGGCCCACAAGATTACGACAGATCCGACAATGTTGACAGCAAGGACCATCGGTTTAACGGGGAACAACCGCTTGTAAAAAGCAAGAATGGATAGTTTGACGAAAGCGATACATAGCGTGTAGGTAAAACTGCCTGTGGACAAGGTCTGGTTCGTTAAGTTTTCGTTTAGTTGCGTTCGATTCTTCTTCGTACCTTCATGTAAACGACGAGTTCATGGGGAGGCACAAAAACGATATGTGTTCCCAATCCGTTGTACAGTACTATGCAAAGTCAGCCTCAGACCACCGAGTGATGCGTCGTATTCACTAACAGATTACCCCAGAAAATGAGACTGCGTAGAGAAACACCTAGCAAGATGAGCATGTAAAGCGACTTCGGCCGAAAGAAAATACCCACCAGAGCTACCAGTATCAGATAATCATCCAAAAACATCTTCGTCTTCGTCACCACTCTGCATAAAAGCCGCAATACAACCGAGACGGTCGACAAAATCAGAGCGAAGCATGTTGCTGTGATGACAACATGATGAAGATTATCATGCGAATACCCAAGGTCAGGGCTTTGCTCGGAGGTAGAGCTATCAGCCATGGTTCAACCGAATAACACCTTGTATTAGTCGCACCTCCTGGACGGGTTTACTCGGTACAACCTCCGAAGGGCTGAGAAATTCTGACACCCCCATCATTTAAAGAACTCAATCTTAGCTCAGGGGACGGGCTTCAGGGGGTCTTTACCGGCCAATCTGAGGCCAAAACGTCATGAACCGAGACATAATATCACAATCAATCCCATTATGTCCAAGGTTAAATCTCCACATTCGACAATTATCGAGCCTAGTTGACGCCCAAGGTTGGAGAAAAAGCCACTTTCCATCTATCACCGATCGAGTGTACCTGTAAAATTTTCCAAGAAGGGAGAAAGGTCGGCGGTTTCGGCAGAATGAGCGGGAATTGAGTCTTGTGGTGGAAGGAAACCAGCGGAAAAGTTTCGCGATACACCTATGATTTGGTGGAGAATGAGCTCGGCACTAGTGACAGATATGTCAAATTGGTGATTATCCGAGATGCTGCGCTGCCATCATTCGATCCATCACAACATCATTGGCTTATCTGGAAACCTGGCGAACCATTTGATCAACTGACCATTCCCAAGCCTTTGGTCATTGTGGAACTTCTTAACATGATGCATCACAAGAGGCGTGAACAAATCCTGTTTTTTGTCATCTTCTCTCAATGATTAATATCATAGTCTCCCCGGCTATTGTTGAAGTCCTGAAAAAAGCGCTGCTCGTCCCTCCGAAAAATCGTTATTGTCGCCGTTTGGGACAATTAGTTGTGAAAGCCCGTTATTGGTGTTTGGGAAGAGAATAAATGAACCCCTTAACGTGTCTATTGGGGTTTTTACTGTAGGTCCGTCATAACAATCCAGGATACCGCGTTCTGCCTCTGGAAACTAGTCCGGTCCGTATAGATTTGGGGAAAGTAGAATGGCTTCCCCCTTGCTGCTTAGTTGACACCGTGAACAAACCCTGGCTCTGTGCAGATCGGCATCACAACCGTCTGTGCCTACTGTGGGGCGTCGGATCTCAAGGAACGACAGTGAGTGCATTCCTCAACACAGTGAAGTCTAAACATGACGATGCGAAGACGGTAGAAAGTCTTGTATAGGACTTAATGTCATATACTTTCTTTCACCTAGCCGCATCCAGGTACGTTCAAGCTCCGGTTTTCTCAGCCTTCTTTTTGATCGCAAGAATATTGCGCGAGATAAACGAAAGAGTGTTATGGTAGCTCAGATTTCGACAGATAATCGGTAGCGTAACTGAAAAAAGTCAAGGTTCTTCCTAAGATTGAGCAATGGACAAGTCCAGCCTGCCTATCCGATTGGCTCAACTCTCTTAGCTATTTGAGTAAATGCGGTGATCTGGTGTTCACTCCATATTATGGAAAATGCAACAATTTACCAACGACAGGGCAGGGAGTGGCATATAAATGCGAAACCTCCCTCGAAGGCTTCCTCACCTCGGTCAGATACAAATACTTGTCAAAAGCACTGTTCATTCAAATTCCTGGTCAGCAACATCTTGCAAACTTCGTCATCTATCTTTTCGGATATTTGACGTACCCCATTCTCGGCTGCCGGGGCCACGCGAAAAAGGTCATCCCACAACCCGATTGTATTCCACAATTACCAGAGGCTTCGTAGACGAGAAAATTTCTTTTTCGCTCACAGCATCTCTCGACGCGTCAAGCTGTGTCCGCCGTGTATTTCGTCCCAGGGGGTGTATTCGCGGTCGGTCGGCATCGTCAGGATGGAATTTCCACGAGACATTCGAGATCAATCAGACGAGTAGCATCGTGTGAAGTATTGGCGGTAGCTCACTTCAGCATGAGCTCAAATTTTCAATCGGCGATTTCGTGGGAGGCTTGAGAAGGCATACCTATGAAATCAAAGTAGCATCAGTAACTAGTCAACCCAATTGGAGCCATCTTTCGATGGATTTCTTCGCAAATAACGATCTTGCGATGAATCTTTCATTGAGGCTGCATCAGGCGTGATTTATTGTAGCTCTAAAATGTCGTATTTGATGGAATGTCCTTCCACACGGATATCGAAGAGTTGAAGACGGTGGTTGGAAGGCACGGTTGACGGTGTTTACAAGTTCATTCGCTGAGAACATGACCCACAACCACCTTCTACCTGGCTATCTCAAATCGCAGAAAAGCGAGATACGGTCATTACCAAGTACCTTCAAGAGGAGAGGAGGAATTGAATTTATAGCCACTAAATGGCTTCAGGGTGGGTTAGAAGGTCTAGAGACGGGACCATGTCCTGCAATTGCTCTGCGCTGTCTGAGTATCTCTTCAGCCACATGAAAAAGACTGAGAGGTCTATTGCCAGCGATGAAAGATATATATACAGTGAGGGAGGTAAAATTTGACTTTTGTTCTAAAGGGTTAGCTTGGCGGATAGTATATCAAATCATATGAGAGAAAACAAAATATAGCTGATGGAGGACAGAGAAGATAAGAAAAGATAGATGTTTCTAGGTATTAAGAAAGGAAGGATGTGAGGAGAAGGAAGAAATGGAGGTTGGGGAAGATAAGAGAGAGAAGAAGTAGGCAGAAAGGTCTGGTCAGGCGCAAACATTCACTGGTTCAGTTTCATTCACTTAGGGCGTTTCATGTCACGCTGTGACTTTCCAAATTATGTCGAATTTCCCCAAAAGCACGCAGCTAAAACCAGCACAAGCAATTTTGCTAAAACTACCTCGGAAATATCTCGCCAGGGCTGAAGTGGGCCATGAGTATGTAAGGCAAGATTCCTTCAACTCACAGCTAGATTACTCTGAATAAACTCCCACGCATTCCTAGTCGCTTCCTCGACCTCCGCTTGCAACTCATACGCCCTTCTCGCAATAAACGCATCATGTGGTGCATCCGGTATTTCATACAGTGTCACTGTATTACCTATGGCACGCATATCCTGCACAAACTGAACATTAGACTCATAGAAGCTCTCTGCAGTTCCGACCATAGCCCAAATAGGTACCGAGACATGGAAAGGGGAGTTTGCGAAACAGAGATAGGGGTGTGTACTCGGTACACTCCTCCCATTATCAGTCAACTTGTTCACAGCCCATTGCAGAAACTTCGCTTTGAGACAATCAATCTCCTCGTTCACGCTCCGGTTGATGTGTTTCATATCAGAGAAGTTGATCCAGGCAGACCAGAGAAGGGCCGCTCGAGGCAGAGATAACAAGTTTGGGTGATCGACGAGGTAACGTAACAGGGCCAGAACGAGATTGCCACCTGCCGAGTCGCCAGAGAGGATGATTCGCGATGAGTCAATGCCGAGGTCTTCGTTGAGGTAGCGATAGGCTGTGACTGCATCTTGGATGGCGGCTGGGAAACGGCCACTCGGGGTATTTGCCAAGCGATAGTCCACGCAGAGTACAGGGGCGTCATCGAAGTCTCGGCTTAAGGAGCGGGCGCTGAAGCCGCAGGTCTCTTCGCGGGCATCACCTGTCAAGTATGCGCCTCCGTGGAAGTGAAGGACAACGTTCTTGGAGGTTTCTGTGGTGCTGTAGGGTCTTGGATACCAGACGGCGCCTATCAAGGCAGGCTTAATTTTAGAATCGTCAAGAATGTCAGTATATAGACCGTCCAAGCGAGGCTTGATGATGACGAATCGATCGCCCTCTCTGCCTGGATTGAGGGATAACTTGGTGTTGTGTTCTATTCCGTAGATGAATTCAACAGAAAGTTTGACCAGCTCGATTGAGATGCAGCGCCTATAGGGCCAACGAGGGGGCCGTGCAGAGGGCAAGGCATAGTAAGCCAAGTAGAATAAAAGGCGAAATATATTCACCAGGAGGAAATCAAAAACGAAAAACAATTTGACCTGCAATTTAACATGCCATTGCCACCAGGCTGTCAGGAAAATTTCGCGTGCCATTTCGAGAAAGTTATCCAAGATTACCGTGGTAGTTGTCGAGCAGATATACGACAAAACACAATTTTGAAGCTTCGAAACCAGTTGAAGATAAAGAGGTAGTATTTAAATATTAATAGAGTTGCATAAAGGAAGGTTCCATTTATCCCTAAACAAATACCTTGCTCCTTATTGGGTGGATGGAGGACAGGCCAACGTAACCCAGGCTTCTATCCTCCCAGCAGACGCTTCCATCTAGTTCAATTAGACTTCGGCAAACCCCATTTTGGGTTGGAGCTCCCGACCTAAAACCTAATTTTGCATAAAATTTGATCTTGGCTGTGACCTCCTGAAACCAGGGAACTTCCCGGTGCGGAGGAACGTTCCGGAGGAATGTTCTGGTTAGTTATTATAGGATCGAGGGACCCTCCGGTAGGCATTCCTGCCTGAGGCGAAGCCTCGGGCAGTATATAGAGGCTCTAGATTCTCCCTCCTAGATAGCCTTTCTTCCCCATGGGAAAATTCTTTGACTACGAGTCAGAAACAAACTTGTCTTATACCAAGCTCCTTTGTAGACCGCCACACTGTTCTGGCTATCATCCAAAAGCCAAATAAGACAGACTGGGCGAACCCCAAGTCGTACAGACCAATTGCCTTCCTCTCAGTCCTAGGCAAAGGCCTTAAACGCCTGATAGCACGGAATATGGCATAGATTGCTATTTCCTACAAAGTTCTGGCTAGCTAACACTTTGGAGCCTTCCCTCTCCGCTTTGCTGTTGATCTCACTACCTGCCTGCTGCATGATGTGGAGCAAGCCCTAAACCAGGGCAAGACAGCCTCCCTTTTAACCTTCGATATCAAAGGGGCGTTTGATGGGGTTCTTCCCGGCAGACTGGTGCACAGACTACGTACGCAAGGCTGGCCTGATAACCTAGTCCGCTGGGTAGCCTCCTTTGTCACAGGGCGTACAGTCCAAATCCGACTAGATGAAGAACTAGGGCCTAGGATCAAGATATCCTGTGGCTTACCACAAGGCTCGCCGATATCCCCTATCCTGTTTATGCTCTATCTGGCCCCCCTGTTCTGGATGGGCAAACTAAAGGCCAGATTCGGGTACGCAGACGATGGAGCCTTCCTAGCAACATCTCTATCCCTAGAGACAAATTCCCAGAACCTATCAGATTCCCTGCAGGAAGCCCTGAACTGAGGTCTTGCACAAGGAATTACCTTTGCACCAGTAAATATGAGCTGATACACTTCTCACGACACAGAGCTGATCAAGACCCTAGCCGCACACCATCAGTGGTAGCGGGGCCTGTTACAATCTCAGAGAATATAACACGCCCGTACCTACGCTGGCTAGGAATCCTCTTCGACAAGAAGCTCAGCTTTAAATATCATGTTAAAGAAATGGCTCCCATAGCTATAATCGTTAGCCGTGAGGAACCCTGGCCGACCATCAGGCCAGTACGTACTACAGGATATCTACAAGAGGATCAGGACCCTGAGAGGCAGGGGCCTGCAGCAGGGAGATATGGAGCTGCGCTGGATCCCTGCGCATATCGGTATAGAAGGGAATGAACGAGCTGACGAGGCAGCCAAACGGGCTGCAATAAAGGGGATTGAATTAAGCTCAGTAGGGCCGAGGGAGCTGGCTGCTCGGCCAATCACGAGGCTCGCAGCTGCAGCCAAAACTGACGTCCGCCAGAGAATCCAGGCGCAGTGGACGAAGTGATGGGAGCGACAACAGGTTGGAAAACCTACCAAACGGCTGATTCTGAAACAGAATAGGAAGGTCTTAAGGATATACGAGGGCCTGAGCAAGCCCCAGACCTCTATAATTATCCAGATGCGCACTATGAGGATCGGACTGAGGCATTTCCTCTTCAAGATAAAGCAGGTCGACTCCGACCGTTGCGGGTGTGAATTAGGTTCTCAAACGCCTAAACACGTCCTTATGGAGTGCTCGCTGCACCTCGCTGGTCGGAGAATAATGATGGAACGTCTCGACTCTATCGAGGGACTGCGTGGGCGTATACAGGACTGCGACGCAGTCATGAACCACCCGCAGGCGATACGCTACGTCGCCGATTTCATGCAACGAACAGGCCTCCTACAACAATTCCGATTCGCCACATTTAAAGACGAGGAGGACGAGGAGGTCCCGGAACCCAGCACCCTCCTGAAGGGACTCGATCTAAACGAGGAAGACGATGATTATATTGAACACTAAGAGCCAGGAAGTCTCAACTAGCTACGTGACGCACACAGGAATAGTAGATCCCACTGCAATACCACAGATAGAACGGAGTGGAAGGAGAGAACAGCGCCTAGGGGCGCAGTAGGCACGCGGCAGGCGTGTGGCAGCCGGTTTAGTTGTGTTACTTTTTGATCTCTTTTGCCTACTGCAATAGGTTTATATGGCGTACGGGCTCGAGATTCTGCTTCATTCGGCGAAGCGCCTGCATAGCCTGTCGTTTCAATAGATAGGCTCCACCAGGTTAATAGAATTTTGATTGATTGATTGATTGATAGCTATAATCGTTGCGAATGCACTACGTTCCCTTGGAAATACAGTGCGCGAATCAACCCTTACCTTATACAGCAGGCTGTTAAGGCCTGCGTACTCCGCAGAGTCTACTATGGTACGGAAACCTGGTGGCCAGGCCGCTCACGCCCTGGCCCCCATACGAAAATAATCTCAAACAAGGTCCAGAGCCACCTTGACCCCTACCACCCTTTCCGCAGAAGGGCAGAAAGAGCAATCCAAACAGGCCTTCAGATTTGCCGTTTTGCATATCGCGTGCTGGCCCTTCCTGAATCAGAACAACTGAACCTACTGCAAAATCCCCCCTAACTCCCACAAGAGGAACGCGAAGCAGCTCAACAGCGAATCAGAGTCCCTGCAGGCATATCCAAGAAGCAAGCAGCTGATAGATTTCAAAAGTTTTATGCTTCTCTCCCACAGACTGATATAAAGGTCTTCACAGATGGCTCGAAACTAGAAAACGGAATGGCAGGTAGTAGATATGCCCTATATCAATCTGGAAAGCTGTTTCAACAGTCCTCCTTCTCCCTGGGACCGAACAAAGAGGTCTTTGATGCTGAAGCTGAAGCAGCTCTAGCTGGGGTTAAAGCAGCCCTTAAACTAGACACTGCTCGCTTTGCTACCAACCTCTGGGTCTGTCTAGATAACCTGGAGGTAGCTACGCGCCTCCTTTCACCTTTCACGGGCTCGTCCCAAGGAATCTTCGAATCCTTTCAAGCTCTAGCCCAGACCTGGCTGACACGAGAGAGGTTCTCGTATACCAATGGTGGCTCAGTACGGGTCTGCTGGGTTCCCAGCCACACACGAATCCCTGAGAATGAGACAGCTGATCAAGCTGCAAAGAAAGGCGCTACCATGGATCCTCCCTTTTCAAGCAAACACTCGTACGCCTCGCTGAGGCGGCAAGCTAAAGCAGACGTCAAGACTGCTCTTCAAAGATACTGGCAGTCTGCGGCCCCTCAATCCTATTAAGATCTTTGGATTACCAACTTCCCTAGATGCCCTGCAGAGCTAAAGCTCCTAAAGCCACTTCTAGCACGGATTCTAGCTGCCCGTACGGGCCACGGAAACTTTGCAGCCTATCACGAACGGTTCAATCATGAAGATGCCTACCTTCTCTGCCGTTGCGGCACGAGAAAGTCTACACTACATTTCCTCTTCTGCCGCATTACTAAGAGGCGCCCGCCCCGACCTCCAGGATCCCCCTCTGACATAATCCCCTACCTGCTTGGCACCCCAAAAGGCGCAACCGAGCTAGCTGCGTGGCTTTCAGAAACTCGCTTCTTTGAAGATATATGCACTCGGCATCCACTATTTCAGCTAGACTGAGAACCCCCCCCCAAAAAAAGAAACAGAGGTAATAGGATAGGTTATAGAGTTTAGGAGGACCTCTGCAGCTGGTATCGACTTCTGCCTGAACTACAGGCTCTGCTTCTTGACTGCAGCAGCTATTTAAAGCGCTAAAGTCCCTTATTTGTACTTAGAGCTAGAACTAGAACTAGTTAGTGACGCCCAGGGCTTACCCCCTGGCGGCCTTTGGCCCAGCAGGGTGAAGTGGTAAAACTAAGGGGGATGGAGGAGTTCGATCGGTCCGAGCTGTACAAGGCCTAAGCCATAAGGAGAATGCAAATGAATGGAGTAATACTCTATCTAAAACGTAGCCTAGAGTATAGAGATACTTGAGTGCTTAGGTGTTGAAGAGGATCGTGGCCTCTGCAAAATATGAGCCTCGGACGGATTAACGTTGTTCCCGACCTCCGAGCTAATTATATCTCATCAAAGGGGACGGCGGGACACGTGCCTAGGCGGTGAACTGCGGCCGTAAAATATAACTAACCAAAATAAGTAACTAGTTAACTAAATCAGGGCCTCCATCTGAATCCGGGATGCCACCAATCCAGATCCTCAATCTCCTTCTGGCTCAGCCCGTCTAATTCACCTCTAACATCACGTTTCTCCCTCCGACAGTTATCCCAGGTCATGTAAAGCAACAACGCAATAGCAACTAGCAGTGTAGCTGATGCCGCTGCGAGATTCAACCCATTCCCGACATGGTACAAAGGGGCATCCTTGGCCATATACGACCACGTCGAGATCAAGCCGCCAATGTTTCCGATTAATCCCGTCGTGCCGATAGCGGAAGACCGGGCAGAATCGGAAACGACATTAGCAGACGCGATCGCGTTGACGAGCGCGCCGAAGGTGAAAGATCCACTTGCTATCAGAAACGTGGCTCCATATTGGGTCATTTTGTGAGTTGTTGCGAGGAACATGATATATCCGATCATCATGAGCGGTGCACAAACAAGGGCAATTACCAGTCGGCGATCGATCCTCCATGAGATGAACGGAAACAGTAGAGTGAAAAAAGCTCCTACAGCGTACGGCGGAACTGTATGGAGCTGCTGCGATATGACACTTGAATCAGGATATATTGTCTTGACAATTGTGGGGGCGAAGAAGCCTAATCCCTGGACTGTGATCTGGTTCAAGCAGAACATCAAGGCTGCTCCAAGAGTTGCGGGATTAAGTATTCCTCGGAGAGTCTTAGTGCGATCTAGACGATCGAGTACTTCGGAGGTCGCGACTCGTTCGGATTTCACCCTTGCAATGGCTAGGCTCTTCTCTTCGGGCGATAACCATCGCGCAGTTTCCGGGCGATCGGTCAAAGTGAAAAAAGAGATAACAGCAAGACCGATAGTAATAATTCCTTCAATTGCGAAGATCATGCGCCATTCTCTCAGACTTCCGAAATGGTCGAGCTTTAGGATCCCCGATGCGAGGAGTCCACCGAATGCCCCCGCCAACGGAGACATGACAATGTAGCATGATATCCGGAAAATAAGCTCGCTGCGTCGATACCAACGGGAGAGATAATATGCTATTCCCGGTAGCATGCCGGCTTCAAAGAGACCAAGAAGGAAACGCACTCCGGAGGCACTATGTATTGTGTGCACGAATGCAGTGCCTAGAGAGCATATTCCAAAGCCGAGGGCGATCGCGGGAATGAACCAGCCGGGTCCGATCCATTTGCATGCGATCGTGCAAGGAATTTCGAATATGATGTAAGCAATGAAGAAGACCGAGAGAACAGTGTTGAAGTCATTGCCCTTCAGATTAAGATCTGCTTCGAAGCCGGCAAGTTTGGCATTTCCTAGACAATGTGAGCTGATGAGACACTTCAATAGTGCTCGGATACGTGTTACTGACCGATATTAGCGCGATCAATAAAGCAGAATAGATACAGTACGGCCACGGTGGGAACAACGTATAAGTCTATCTTAGTCCGCAACCGAGACTCGGCTTTGGGGTCGAGTTGCACCAGGGAATGGCCATATCTGATGGAATAAGCAAGAAATCATCCATGGAAATGGACTGAGCATACTCATCAGTTGCAACTTGACCATTTCCGGACGCGTTACCGGCCGAGAACCCCTCATAACCAGCAAAGCCTTTCTCAGACACAGATTGCTCGTTGTCAGAAGTCATCGTTCACTGGAAAATGCCTAGAGTAATATGGGGAGGTTATGAGATGGACTTCTGCTCCACAAGGTCAGAGCAATGCATTACCCCATGTTCGACCAACGTTGTGCGGATATAAAATGGTGACGTCCAAAAATGCGGGGAAGCTGTCAGGCCCTTTCCGATGAAAACCAAGACATTGCCGAAGTCCAACCATGGTCCGCCCAACTAAATATCGTATATCCAGAGCTATGACTGGCCGTTAAATATCCAACACTCCAAGTAAGTTCTGTTCTACTTAGCGGGATATCTGACTTCTTTGTTCCACTATCCGATGGCATTCGGAAATGAGCTGTAGATATCGGCTGCGCAGCCGAAGAGCCATCCTCGCGGCTGTCATCTTCACATTACCCCGGATTTTCCGCGTTGTAGGGGCGCTTTCTCCGTCATCCTTTTCGATCTTTGGATGGAATCGACCTGGAGTCAATTATTTCGTGTTGTCCTTGGAAACTGAGAGGGCAAATACAAGGGCCTAGAGCCGTAGTCGTCAAAGGGAATCCAATACCGCAAGAATAAGCGGCTCGATTTAGACGCAATGTTCTATACGAATATCGGAAGGGCCGAAAGTACTTCGGATGAAGACTATGAACCCATCATGAGCTGAAATCAGAGGCCATCCAACTTGGCGGAGATGTCTGATGGCATTGTTTGACCTAAATTCGAAGTCAAGGCCGAGGAACTAGCGTTGATATCTGGCAACCTTCAAATGAGAGCCTAACTCCCAAGCTGGAAGTGCTGGGAACAATCTATATGGGCTTCCGAAACCTCTTGAAACAAAAATGCAACAGTAGCCATTGTCTGATCGCAAAGTTTTTGGGATACCCCCCCTCCATATCATCTCGGCAGATGATATGAATTATCCGAAGGTCAATATAGAGTCATCTGCCACATGCAAATCATCAAGAAAGCTCGTGAAGCTAGACCAGGAGGTTTGGCCAAGATCTTCCGTCCAGTCGTCAAAGTTTAATATCTCCCAGATATCCTTCGAGGCATAGGGCTCTGAAATGCTCTGCTCCCTTGCCTCAACGGGCGGTAAATCATTGCGGACAGCGCTCTGTTCATTCGAAGTTGAGCTCAGTGTGGAGTCTTTATGTTGGTTGCTCCGGGCAAGTTGGTTAACAGGAGTGGGTTGTTTTGGCTCCTGCGGAACAGTTGTTGTTATGAGGACCGCTCTTTTTGATTCTGCCTGTTTCATCAATTTATCAATAGGTTTCCACAGCATCCCTTCTTTGGAGTCTGCCACGGCATGCCCAACGACGCAGAATGAGTGTTCCACAATTGGCCAGTACGCCTCCATAACAGAGACATCGTCACAAGAACAAAGCTCAGCAAGGGCCACCGAGAGTGGATGCCAAGGGGCCCATAATTCTTGAAACCAGCGCCATGGTTCGACCAGAGGGTTCTCCCATAGATTTTGTGTTCTCTGCAGAATATCTACGCAAAGTTTCAAAAGACCATGATTCTTGACCTGCGGGGGTGTGAAACTCGAATCCCGTTGTAAAGGCCTCAGTGCTGCCAGCTGTAGAGAAGCAGTGAGGCATTCCGCTGTCTTGACAGTAAGCCACTGAAGCGGGTCTTTGTCCGGACAGCACCCGGAAACCATTTTTATTGCCTCTTTCTGAAATCCGATCACAATTGACTGTCGATCTTCCATGTCCATGATCCCATGTTGCGTCCAACGCGAAAAATTGAGCGATCGCATAATTTTATGCGCTTTCGATATAAGCAATGTGAATGTCATATCAGTGTATTCAGTTGTTTCTGGTGGGATAGCATCGCTGAAAAAGCCGATATCATTGTCGTTGATGTTCGATGCAGTGTTCTGTTCGAGCCATGCGGGTATGACCATCGGCTCGGTTGCTCGATCCAGAGATGACTGGGCGTCAAGAATGCCGATAGCATGCCAGACACGTCTGCGTAATTCCATCTCGAGCGGTCTGATTGAGAAGGGAGGATTCACAATGTGGAGCGATAACGCTTGACCTACTCGCAATGCCATGCTCAACATTGTCCATTCACGTCGACCTTGATCCAAAAGCCGGTATGAAAGCTATGAAGTAAGCTAGAGTTGACATTTTTCTTGAAGACACCAAGGACTTACTAGTGATATCATGAAAGCCTGAAGAACAGTTAAATCGTTTGTTGTCGGGAAATCTGCATGATATAGTGCCGCGTCGCAAACTCGTCGATATTTCACGACCACTGAAGATTTGTGCTCCTTGAAAACCCGATCACATTCTTCATCGCTCAAAATGCAAACGGCAGCATAGTAGATAGCGGATGCGAGCGTATTTGGAGCATGGTGTCCATCTTCATAGTCGAGATACTGCTTGCCTTCTAACAGATACGCCTTTAGAGAAGGTTGATGTATAACCTTGAATACTGGATCAATTCGGGATAAAAAGACTTCTACTAAGCTCCTATGGAGCTCGGAATGCTCAGAGTCACGAGCGCCACCGGACGCCTCATTGAAGTCGGCAGCAATGAGCAACCCTGAAGAGATAGTATGCTTATCCGGCTTTTGGGGGTTTACGGAAACACTCCCTGTCTAAAAGTTCATTAGTATGTTGTGGATAAGTGTGAGGGTGCGAGGTGCTAACCTGTCCCATCACGTCATTTCTTGGATGTGAGGTCCCCCCTCCCCCTTCCTGCTCTCTTTGCTGAAGAAGTTGCTCGAGCCTTGCTACGCGAGATCTCAAATCGCTAGCATTATCTGCCGAAGGCCCATGTTTACTCACCCGGTGCTTCCCCCGTGGTAAACGCGGACGCACTACTGGCCTGCAGACAGCTCCTTGACGCTGACAGTACGAACAAGGATTCAATTTATCACAACGTTTTTTTCTTTGAGAGCATAGTTCACAACTGAGTCGGGCTTCGGGCGCCAATTGACTGGTGGCTGAGAGACCAATGCCTGCAGTCGCCGACATGGTCTTTGGGGCCACCTGCTTAGAATTTACACCTTATTTCGCAATAAAGCATGAGGATCGAAAAGTATGGTTTGGTAGTCTCGATGAAGAATTGAAGCTCAAGTCTGGAGGACGCGGTCACCATGGCTTGGCATCAGGCGATGTCTGCTTAGTCACGAATGACTCAGCTGATCATCAACAGTTCCGCTGGTCGCGCCCAGATAAACAACAATTCTTTGCCTATCCACAATACTCGATGTGAGCGATCGCGGACCGCACATCCCATCCATCGAAACTCGAACTGATCTTGATCTTTGAAAATTATCAGTATATGAAGATGCTGGAATCACCGCCAACTTCCCGATGTCCCCTGTAATGGGATATCCTCAAGAAAGTCGCATTTCGTTGCCTGCTGTCAATATTCTCACAAACTTGAAGCTTGGAACATGCGGCACCAATGCTCCTGACACAACGCTCCTGACAGTTTGAAGCTTCTCCTTAAAACCGGAGTAAGCGTTGTGGCTCCGTTGAAAGCATTAGAACATTTCGATATCCGTCCTAAAATTCTCCGATAGATGTCAAACCAACGAGTGGGCCTAGTCATCCACTAATACTACGGTCGCTGCTTCGAGTTGAAACAACCGGTGCTCTAGACTATGATTAACGTTGCAAAGATCTTGAATTCAGATGAGCACTCGGATTCCTGTTGTCCGCGATCTACGGATTAATATAGCTACTGCGTCACTTACAGCTAGCCACGAGCCATCATCATCCATTCATCCGAGATGCCTCAGTAGCATCCTTTTGGCCCGGTCCTACTTCATCTCCTACCATGCAAAAATATCCTCCCGCAATCTGGAAGAAAAAATCGGACACCGATCCCAAAGATGCGCGCAGACGTCAAACTACCTTTACACCATCACAACAAGTCCACACTTGGCCACACAAAACCCGGCAGATTAGCCCTATTACCCATGGCCCGTGGGTGCCAATAGAGGGCCTATTCAGGAATTTAAGCTGGTCCGTTGGAGTTTCATATAGTATAGTCTACTCCAGGCACTCACCTGGTGTGGAGTGCTAGCAAGGGCTTGGTGCTGATGGTACTTGTTCGGCATTTGAATTTAATTAATTGATAACGCCTAGACTTTGCCTTGCTAGCTGACTTTGATGAATAGTTTCTTGTTCGGTTTTTGTCATTGTGACTATTATCTCTGGGATATGTTTGAACTGGGGCCATCAACGTAAACCCCGCATGACACCTACAGCTTCGTGACGAAATATATCTCTGGGCTAATATTTCGTGCGCTGGACAAAGGTGTGGCCTCGCCTTTTCCCAGAATCCTTTTCGACTTCTGCTTCACGGCACATTATCGGCTTTCGAACTCTTGTGCCACTTTATTCGGCACAAATAGTGTGGTCCTTAAGGAGTACTACAGACCCAATCGATCAGCGCGAGCTGATACCTACAGCCAGAACCATTAGGTGTCATTTGAGCTCTCTACGGTTTTCTGCTGCCCTTGCGGGACTTGTTCATTCCGTAAATACCGTGGTTTACGGATAGACGATGATCTTTCATTTAGTTTCTGGAGACCGTGCACTCACCGTGGTGCCAAATGGAGTCGTCAAACTTTTCTCGTGCGAAATAAATTAGGATGTTACAGTTGGCTCGAGTCTTCCGCGGAGTATTGGTGTCAAAGTCGCCTTGTCCTCCTTTCGGCAAATAAAAAGCAGAGACCTTATGCTTGTCATCGAAACGCGTTTCAACATCGAGCATTAACCTCGATAGCGAGTGAATTGGAAACAACAGTTAGGCACTTGAATTTCAGTCGATACTTGACAATATATATTTCTACCGATGCGCGGAAGTGCCGGCAACGAGATTAGCTAGGAGCAACAACGGCGGACCTCTCCTAATGTATGACATAATGTATGGCAAAAATCATCTTCAAAGCTATTAGCATGTCGATCGAAGAGACGAATTGTTGCCTTCGAATACAGTCGTGATCTAGTGTTCTTTTTTAAATGACAGCCGTCCAAGCGTTGCAAAACAATACAAGTACGCCAAGAAGCTATTTTAGGATGGATTGCCTCCTTACGTCGGAAATTGCCGGTAATCAGGGGAAGTCGCCCCTGTGCGATCTTATATTGCGTTTATTGTTCAGTTCACCGTGACTGTTCACGCCAGGTGGTCCCGAGAGATCTATTATTGCATACGTGCACCACAGTGACCATTGCGGCTGTACAGGATTCACGATTATACTAATCTGTGAGTAAGAGAGATTCGATCACGCTTCAGTGGCGACCGACTGAAGGACGCGTCGGCATGCGAGCCCATAACGACCAGAAATATACGTTCCCAAGGGGGGATTACGTCAGTTATGCCAATTAGTTAGTCAGGCTGCGAGTCAAGAATCGGGACTTCCGCGATGCCGACATCGCTGGAAGGATTAATATACACGCGACGTAGGGCGAACTCAATTTGACCGTTGCCAAATGCTCCTGCCAAATCCTTTCTAGACTGACCGGCTATCAGGGTGCAAGGCTGCGAACAGATCCTGTGTGGTTACTACTACTACGCGACATCTGTTTCGGCCAAACGCCGTGCAGTGGCTGCCGCTGCATATCATCTTGTGGAAAATAAAGGGCTCGGGGGTTCGCCGCCCGGAGCAAGAATGGCGCCCGGTCCCGTGGATTTGGTACGGAAAATTCACTTTGGCCGAGGCCAGAGCATTCTATATCAGCGGAGGCTCAATAGATGCAAGCCACGTGCCCGCCACTCCGTGATCAGTCCGTGTCCGAGGAAGATCTTTTCCCGTAATCGAAGCTCTTCCGGTCACCCAAAAAAAAGGTTAAGCCCTATCCCCTGAGTCATGGAAATTGATTCCAAGGCGGCATTTCAGGACCCAGCGACAGCAAATCCCACATCCACACTAGCTGGAGGGGAGAAAAAAGGAGAAAAAAGCAAAAAATGGAAAAGTTCAGTACCCACGGCACACAGTCCAGCTGGGACCGGCAGTCCGTCACTCATCCCAATCACCTCTCATTGGGCAATCTAGAAGATCTCCAGAACGCACACGAGCGCTTCGATTGCGGATCTGCTCGAGTCGCGGGTGGGCGCCAAGACAGCAGGACGGCATGCTGATTGCCTCGGTTTCACTCGACCCAAACTCTATGACGGACTGGCGTTGGATTTATCTAGATATTTTTCACCAGAGGTTTAGCCGACCACGAGCCTCGGACAACGGTTAACGGCTAGCTATTCGCTGTCGCCTCGTTCCGCCTAGTCCATGGATCTTCATTTGGAAGCCCTCCGGCCCAATTCCCTGGTTGAGATCCTCGCCTCGCAGAGACCAGCCAGAGGCACCATCATGATAAATAAGCTTATCCTCGCTAGTGTAGTTTCAGATGGCTCGTTTGGGATAATTCTCCATGGTGGAGAGCCCAGCCGGACAACTTCTGGGTCTCCTAAAAATGGGTACATGATGGCGAGAGAGAGAGAGAGAAAAACCCTCTAGAACCCCTCGGTCCCGTCCCTTCGTGGTTCCTTTGACAGTTTCAGTCCTGGGGTGCATCATCGGCAGTGTTGGATTCCATTCTCACTGCCAAAATGAAGCTTCTCCATTGCCTTCTATGCATCTTGGCTCTTGTCATGGGATTACATGCGGCGGATCCCGACTTTAACAAGTTCCCCTCGTGCGCTGTATGTACTGGCTCGTGCTTTTGCTCTTTCTCGCTTCCTGGCTGACCGTCCTTGCGCCAGCTTGACTGTGGGAAGGAGCTTTTCCCCAACTGCGACCTGACCAATTCGACATGCTTCTGCGCCAAGAGCTCGTACAGGGACGATCTCCTGACCTCTGTCACCACCAATTGCACAACTAAAGAAGAGTTCAGTAGGTCTTGTTTCCCTTTAAGTAATTTAGGCGACGCTAATCCCATCTAGTCACAAAGCGACTGTCTGCGAAAGTATGCGGTATCGAGCCACGTAAAGGTCCGGCTGAGATCGACGGCTCGACTCTCGCGCCTTTGATCCTAGGTGCGGTTTTCTTCATCATTAGAATCGCAGCGAAAAGCTTCGGTCTTGCCGGTGGCTGGGGATGGGATGACTACACCATTATTGTTTCATTCGTGAGTGTACCACCTGTCATTCGAGTCGCGCGATTACTGATCTTTTATTCCTCCAGGTAATGGCCGTGGGAATCTACGTTTTGAATATTTACAGTGAGTTTAAAATACCTTTACTATGGGAATGCATACTCATTTATCAGTGATTCGATTCGGATTCGGTATGGATATCTGGGATATTCACTTTGACACTATTACGAAGTTCTACAAGGTTGGTTGCATATCTTGGTCTATGAAATGAAATTTACCGTATTAACTCTTTAAAGTACTTCGAAGGCCTTGCCGTGATGTATAAAATCCAGATCTCGCTCGCCAAAATCTCCGTCTGCCTTTTCCTTTTGCGAATTTTCCAGTCCCGACCTTTCCGCTATTGCGCGTACATTCTTATCGGCCTCAACGCTGCTATTGGTATAACATGGGCTCTTGTGGACTCGCTACGGTGTATCCCACCACACCTTGATTGGACGGGGTGGATGAACGAAGAAGAGGGCCAATGCATCAACTTTATCGACTCGATCCTTGTCAACTGTCTAGCCAACATCGTCGTCGACACGGCCTTGATCATCATGCCCGTTTACGAAGTCGCCAAGCTTCAATTACCGCTCCGGAAGAAGCTCACCGTGGGGTTGATGTTTGTGATGGGATCAGTGTAAGTGATCGCATACAACTGACAACGGCCGATCAGTACCAGCTAACTTTCTCCATAGATTGACCATCATCGCAATTATTCGTGTCGTCGTGTTTTGGAACAATCGATGGGGCGAGAACCAAACCTACGGCCTATACCCCCTGATCCACTGGTCGGTCATCGAATGCCAAATCTCCGTGATGTGCGCCTGTCTCCCAGCCTCCAGGGCCTTGATCAGTCACTTCTTCCCCGGAATCCTGGGTAATTCTACTCGACGAACCTACGGCACTGGCCCTTCCAACAACTGGTACAACAAGGAGCCGTCGCAGGGAAACAGCAAGATCGCCAAGTCCGTTAGCTACTCTGTCAACTATGCGCCCCGGTCGGTTCAAGATGATTCGACCAGTATGGTGGAATTGATGGACGTCGAGGGAGCGGCGAGGTATGCCCGATAACAATCGTCGGGGTTGCGGAATGTTACAGCAGGAATTAACTCCGCCGTGTCTACATTCTATGTGTATTTCAATTATGATGACAAGATTTACATTTAATGAAATATTTTCAATATGAAACATAATGCAATTGGGTATTGATGAAACAACGCTCGCTATTTAATAACGTAATGATACATTCAATGTACAGAATATCGCAGACGCCATGAGATAGGGGCAACAGAAAGCACAAAAAAGCAAACTCCTACATGACCGGAAATTAAAACTATCCCCACAAGCAAAGAGGGGAAAAGGGGGTAAGAAGCCATCAAATAGCTTCCCAATCCATCGCCTCGACAATGAAATCCCAACCCCCGTCCATCTCCATCTCATTTGCTTTGTCTCCATCCACTGCGGCGACATGCGCCTGCGCAAGAAGATACCCATCTTCCAACCCACCGAAAATCTCCGTCAGGATATGATCGAAATCATAACTTTCCAACGGCAACATCGGCCTCCGCCGCCTCTCCCCCTCAAGTTCCTCCTCCGACATATCCGCCGTCTTCCATCGATTGCGCAGCTCCTTGGCCTTCCGCAGCTGTTCCCGCACATCGCCGAGCCCCAGGACCTCATGCAGCGGACACGTCGGGTCCTCAAGCGTCTCCAACACATTGGCGTGGTAGGAGTGTCCCACACCGGGTCGTGCTCCGCCGGGACCCATAGGCATGGTCGTATTCCACTGCACGCCCTGGCCTACTGTATTGCCGCGCCATTTGCGCGACGGCGTCGATGTGACCTGGACGCCAAAGACGCCGAGGAGATGCACGATCGCGCGCTCCAAGAGGGCGTAGTATTCGTGGAAATCGATCTTGAACATCGTCGCGGCGTAGTTTATGTCCTCTGGGTCTAGGTCTAGGTCTGTGTCTGGCATCCCGGACTGCGTTGCTCGCTGATACGCTTCCTCCAGGAACGGCAGTTTCCATTTTAGTCGCGCGACGAGCTTCGTGAACCGTGAGAGTTCCTGCGCTGGGTTCGCGTGGCTCGGTGCGCTGCCGTTGCCGCCGCTGCCAGTGCCAGTGCCAGTGCCAGTGCCGATGCGGGTACTGCTACTGGTACTAGCGCTAGTGAAGGTATTGCGGGTAATATTCTGGCCCTGAGGCTTTGTCGTAGCAGGCGATCGAAAGGAGAAAGAGGAGGAGGAGGAGGATTTAGGTGCTCGAGACGAGGAGGTGGGTTTTTCGGAGTCGTCGGTTGGCCCAGGGGCCCATCGGGATTGAAGAAGCCCCGACATCTCGGTACTTCTGTAGTTCGATCGGTTAGGCGGATCAATTGACTAGTGAGCCGGGAGGGGAAGGGGAAATTGATACTGACCCCCGCAGAGATGGGGCGGTTCGATCGTTGAGATATCGAGGAGGGAAAGTGAGCGCGATTTGCCGAAGCTGCGGCGATTTGCGATGCGACGCGATCGAAAGCTCGGGTAGAGAAGAGAAATTGGTTCGGTTGCGTCGGTGGAGCCGTGGTTCCGTCGGTTTTTTGGAACTAGAACGGCTTCGGTTTGGTCTGGTGGCTCCTTGGCGGGGATTTCTTAAGGGATCAGTCACGATCGAGAAATTGGAAAAGCTCGCTTGGCTTGGAGTTGGGGGTTTGATGTTGGTTGAGAATCGGTTATGGAGACTGGATGTTACTGGGAGTGGTGAGAATTTGCCACGGGGGAGTTGGACTTCAAAAGATTTTTATTTTGTTGAAGGTGAACTGAGTGAAGAAATAAATATCGTAAATGCCTGCTTGTGTTTGTAGAGTTCTCAACGTAGGAAGCTTTAGTCCTTCATCCAACATTGTGCAACCCAGGCCTTTATATGCTTGCAACAAAGAAAACGTATCTGGGATATGCCCAACAAAGTCAAGTCAAGAAGAGCAAAGGAGATTTCAGTCGCCATCGCGATTCCCTGATGTAATTAAATTGGCAATTAACCAATCATTTTCGTAAGACATCGACCCTGTTGGATTAGTTAGGGCTAGATATGTACTGTATATACCCGGGACTTCATATCACGACTTACTCATATAATTGTACCCATGAAGCTTACCAGTCTTCATTTGGTGCATCAATTCCACCAGTTTATACAAAGAGACAGCTAAGAAAAATTGAGTTTGCTCATGGTTTGCACATATAGCGGGATTTACTTCATTTCAACAAATAGAAGCACCATTGAGCCAACTTATCCAAAGAAGTAAAAGTATATTTCCTTCAGTATATCTGTTCCTATAGTTAATTCTGAATGAATGAATAGAGGTCTTTTCTATCTTGCTTTTCTTCCTGGTCTCGTATATAAACGCACCGACCTCTTGACCCATTAAGGTCCATTGATCAAGCAATCACGACCGCATGACAAAAGAACCAACAAGCCATCCTCCTTATGAGTTTCCACTAACAAAGTTCTCCAAGTAGTCCACAATGCCCTCAGAGTCCGAGCTTGAACCCATCCGCGACACCCTCACGCTCCTTCTCCGCTACCTTGACGAGGGCAAACCCCAGGATTTGGACAATGTTCTCACCTCTGACGCTATTTTAATACCCCCATTTACTTTCCCCCGTGTCAAAGGCCTTCGTGCAATCAAAGAAAATCTGCAAAAGAAGTGCATACCAAACTAATGGTGGGATGAAACCGCCATCCGCTCTATTGAGATGAAATCGTCCGATACGGCATTCGCAGTGTCGTGTTGCCCAGTACCTTCTATATTCCAGACGCTGGTTTTTCAGGATGAGTTGGTCAAGGGCGAAACGGGGTGGAGAGTTCGACAGAGGAAGACTACTCTGGAGTGTGGAAGGAATAGTGGAAAGAAAGAATCGTGATAGGTAATGGCTTGTCTTTTGTTCTTTCTACGTTGATTTAACTCTTCATATATTAAACGGTCAAGTGAGAGGACCTAACTCTCCTTCTCTATGCCATGTCTTTAGACAGGTAAAAAGTTTGAATCAAAAGTTGTTTCTAACGATCTACATAATTCACATATCGTATGATGCACCAGTCCAACTAGTAAAAGGCCTAAAAGCAAACTAATCAACCCGCCCGACCAATAACCTCACCCGCAGCCTCAGTGATCGCGGGGTCACCACAAAAGCCCGAATGGTTCGTGGAGATTCCCCGACATTCCTCCGCCTTGGACTGCACTGAATGATGCGGGGAATGTTCACCGGTTCCACATTTCTGGCCTCCAAAAGTCCAGAGTCCGGGTTACCGCGCATCTTGGCTGCTTCGCTCGGGGTAATATATATGCCCATCCCCATTTCTTCGCTCCACCGTCTTTTCACCGGCTTTGCGTGAATTATTATAAAAGGTATGGTCGGTCCACTGTCGTTGCGGGGGAGGAAATCTGTCCCAGTCCCAGGAATTCAGGCAAGATGATGCGCTTTTCGAGGGCTGCGGTGTCCTTTCTGACTGTCTTTGGTCGGTGGCAGGGAGTTATGGCCCAGACTGATTCTGTGTCGGCGTCGGATGGTGAGTATTGAGTTTCCATTCAGTCCTTGCTTTGAATTGTGGCTAATCTTAGCAGCCATCGTTGTCGAGGACAAGACATTTACGTTAAATGGCGACAATGTGTCCTATCGCTTCCATGTCGATAATACCACCGGGGACCTGTTGTCCGACCATTTCGGGGGCAGCGTCACCGGTGCCATTCCAACGGACCCAGAACCACAGGTCAATGGCTGGGTTGGCACGATCGGTCGTGTCCGACGTGAGTTTCCAGACCAAGGACGAGGAGACTTCCGTGTCCCTGCCATCCGCATCCGACAGTCTGCCGGATACGCCGTGAGCGAACTGCAGTACCAGTCCCATTCGGTGATCAACGGCAAACCGGAGTTACCAGGACTCCCAGCGACATTTGGTAGCGAGGACGATGTCACTACGCTGGTGGTCCACTTGTACGATAACTACAGCTCTGTCGCAGCGGACTTGTCGTACTCGATCTTTCCCAAATTCGACGCCATTGTGCGTAGTGCAAATGTCACGAACAAGGGAAAGGGCGACATTACAGTCGAGGCATTGGCTAGCTTGAGTGTTGACCTGCCTCTCGAGGACCTGGATATGATCGGTCTTCGAGGCGATTGGGCCAGAGAGGCTCGCCGTGAGAGACGCAAGGTTGAATACGGCACTCAGGGGTAAGTCATTGATTCTGGATGGTGCACCGAGATGATATTAACAGCACCACAGATTTGGAAGTACAACAGGTTTCTCGTCTCACCTCCACAATCCATTCCTTGCGTTGGTCCACCCATCAACTACGGAGTCCCAAGGCGAAGCATGGGGTTTCTCCCTTGTCTACACGGGCTCCTTCGCCGTGGATGTCGAGAAAGGCTCGCAGGGACTCACTCGTGCTCTCCTCGGCTTCAACCGCAACCAGCTATCATGGTCCCTTGGACCCGGGGAATCTCTGACATCCCCCGAGTGTGTCTCCGTATACTCCAACAACGGCATCGGCGGCATGTCTCGGTCCCTGCACCGGCTTTACCGCAACCATCTCATCAAAAGCCAATTCGCAACTTCAAACCGCCCCGTGCTGCTGAACAGCTGGGAAGGCGTATACTTCGACTACAACCAAACCAGCATGTACACGCTTGCCGAGAAGTCCGCCGCCCTGGGCACTAAACTGTTCGTCATGGACGACGGATGGTTTGGCAAAGAATACCCCCGAGTTTCCGACAACGCAGGCCTCGGCGACTGGACCCCCAATCCAGACCGGTTCCCCAACGGCCTAGATCCCCTCGTCTCGAACGTCACCGATCTCAAAGCCGGCAATACGTCCACTAACCTCCGCTTCGGCATCTGGATCGAGCCCGAAATGGTAAACCCCAACTCAACTCTCTACAAAAAGCACCCTGACTGGGTCATGCACGCCGGATCCTACCCCCGCACCCAACAACGCAACCAATTACTCCTGAACCTAGCCCTCCCCGAAGTCCAAAACTTCGTTATCGACACGGTCTCCAACATCCTCAACAGCGCTGACATCACCTACGTCAAATGGGACCATAACCGCGGCATGCACGAATCCGCCTCCCCATCCGCCAACCACGCCTACATGCTCGGAATCTACCACGTCTTCGACGTCCTAACCACCCGCTTCCCGAACGTACTCTGGGAAGGATGCGCCTCAGGTGGCGGCCGTTTCGACCCTGGTGTCCTACAGTACTTCCCCCAGATCTGGACCTCGGATGACACGGACGCCGTGGAGCGGATCTCCATCCAGCTGGGCACGTCGCTCGCGTATCCGCCTAGCGCCATGGGCGCGCATATCTCCGCCGTCCCGAACCACCAGACAGGACGGTCGATCCCCGTCGTGTTCCGTGCCCATGTGGCTATGATGGGCGGGTCGTTTGGTTTGGAACTGAATCCGGCGGAGTTGACTGAGGACGAGAGTGCCGCGGTCCCAGGCCTAATTAAGCAGGCGGAGGAGATTGCACCGATTATTCTGAAGGGCGACATGTTTCGGTTGAGTCTGCCGGAGGAGTCGAACTGGCCGGCGGTGCTGTTTGTGAGTGAGGAGGGGGGTAAGGCGGTGTTGTTTGCGTTCCAGATTAATCCGACGATTAACCATGCTTTCCCGAGGATTAGATTGCAGGGGTTGGACGAGGGGGCTACGTATAAGATTGAAGGGGAGGGAAAGTTTACTGGTAAGACGTTGATGAATATGGGGTTGGTGGTTGCGTTTGAGGGGGATTATAGTAGTAAGGTTTTGAGCTTGGAGAGGGTTTGATTTGGGATGTTGATTTGGGGGTTATATTTCAGAGTTAGTCATGATAAATCGCTTGATGAATGATGATATTGGTGTTCTAGTTGTTATTATGATATTTTTGCCAATTCTAGGAAACATGTATGGTGAATGGGTCGGCCGGCAGTGTCTACTACCCTCTCGGCTCGTGGCCCGAATCTCGGCTTGCCGAAACTAAGAATTAGCATCTTCGGCTTACCGACAGGACTTACCCTGTCATTTAGTCCAGCTTATGGTAAACAAGAAACTTATGATTTTGTCTTCACGTAACTCGATGCTATTGTAACATGGTACGCCCAAGATGAACAAATCAGTGTCTTGGGGTCACTTTCTCAAATGTAATCCCTAACCCACACCCTCTCTATCAACGGGCAAAAGATGTACTAGAACCAGAACTGGGATTATCCAAAGACATGATATTTTTGACTGTAACGGAGAAACCGCAGCACAAAAGATCTAGAAATTCATTTTCGATAAAGGAGTCGCAACGTTGAACCAAATGGATAGAAAGTACCGCGGAGAGTCAACTCCGTTCTTCACGGAATCTTTTGTCAAAGACATCAATGGATCATGTCGGATATTTCCTCTCAGCATCTTTGTTCTCAAATAAAGAGCCCACCAATCAGATAGTAGAACCAGTCTGAAAACAACATCCTCACAATTCATTCTCACATCTGTTCATGCCAGAAAAAGAAAAGAAAAATCCATATCCCCAAATGAACAGTTCCAAGGAGTGCTCAGATCATCACAACAAAGCACCTATCCCACCACAATTTCAATTCCTAGTATACAACGTCAAGCATCTTCCAATTTTCCTTCGCCCAAACATCTTTACTACCTACTCACACAATGAGATACCCTGCAAACAAGCACTTGTATCTCTTGCGGGAACCAGAAAAAATAAGGTACACATGAAAACGATGTCTATCAATCTATTACTGATCCCTAAGAGCGGTCCACCCTCCTCCCAAGCCAGACAGAAATTCTCTATCTTTAGTACAATCGACGAACCTCCCTCCTCCGCTCTAACCTCGATGGGCCAAGAGAACTCTCGAATACTTCCGCTATGTGCCCTTAGATCCATAGTTGGACTGCCTGAGAGGAATATAAAGCATTGAGAAATTGTCCGCATACAGACATGCCTGAATGGCCAGAATGATAGCTTACTGGGAGATCTCACCGTGATGCCTTAGTTCCGTGCCGTGATACGGCGATACTCGCCATGTACCAATACAGCGGCGGTGGCGGTAGGGGCAGCGGAGGCAGTGGTAGCAGACGCTCCAGCAGCTGGGGGGGTCTCAAGCGCACCCCAGACAACTGGGGCTACGAAACCGCCTACGCCTACTTCGCCATCGACAGCCGAGGCTGGGGTGGTCAGGGATCTCTCTCCATGGGCGAACTCTACGACCGAATCCACAACGCAGCCATGCACGGAAACTATTCGCTGTACTATCCCAACGACACGACCATTCCCCAGGGCCAGTATGACGGCCAGTTGATTCAGACCGGAAGTATTCGGGGCTTTTCGCTCTATAATCGCGAGCAGCAGGCCTTTGTGCATGCATAATGAGTTGTGTCGGAAGACGAGGAGGTTGGCGCATCAGTATCGGCGACGTTGAATTCTGGTACGGGTTTTGAAGGACTCTGGTTTCATTGTTCTACGGGCGTGAACTTCTCTCCTTCTGGTTTAAGCGAATGGGCCAGATAAAGTCATTCCTGATACCCAGTATCACTTGTTTGGTTTACCTGTAGACAGATCTTGTCATACTTGTCCTTCATGCTGAGATTAGGTCCCCGAGTGGTCTTATCCAGTATGCAAGTTGACTCGAGATGTCTTGTTGTTTTTCGTTTATGCGAAAAAGATTTACGAACCCATAAATCCTTCTTGGAGTTATCAGGAATTAAACAAGTTCCCAATTCCAACATTGTTGATTCCGATATTATAAGCAACGTTTCTTAAGCCAAAGCATTGAGCTAAAAGTCAATGCTATCCATGTATCAAGAATACTACATGCTTTGTTTACCTTGCCATTGATTCGGCATCGGTTTAGATGTCCTAACAACAACATAAAAATCTAATAACCCAGATACACATTTCCTTATTAACATAACTATACTAGTTCTATAAATACTGATAAAGGAAAATTCTACGCAAAATAAATGCCAAAACACTCTATATTAAAAAATTAGCCCCAGACCCCCAATCAAATGTTAATTCCTCGGCTCTAAACGGTAACATTCGCATTCGCCAGCGTTTCCTCCAATTTCTTCTGCGCATCCTCCCAAAGCCTATAAGCTGGTTGAATCGGATCACAAACAGTCCCTTGCTCAGGCAACGTCCCATTATCGAAATATTCACCAATAGCCCTGATCGTGCACTCTGAAGGATGGTTCATAACACCATGCTGAACAAAATTATATTAGCATTCCTGGTCTTGACTGGTATCCAGTTTTGAGGAGGTAGAGGTGTACTTACCCCATGTCCCTTATGAACCAACAACCGACCATCCTTGAACGCAGACGCCGCCCTCCAGGCCCCGCTCAACGGCGTGATGGGATCATATGCACCATTAACAAACATCACCGGGTAACTGGTATTGATATTCTTGAAGTCTCCCTGGAACCGCTCGACAGCGTCGATCTTCCATTGATAGCACGGCCAGAGCTGAGGCATGAACGCGTCGGAGAAGTCGCCGGTTTCCAGCTCCGCCTGGACAAGCGAGTATAGATCGTTAGGGGACTTCGCGCGGATGGCCAGCTCTGAGCATGCGATGCCGTGGAACGCCTGAGTCCCCTCGCTGTATTTCGGCGGAGTGGGTATTTCGGGCGTCGGCGATGTCCAGCTGGTCCAGTTGCGAGCGAATGCGGCGGATGCGGTGAACATGAGTTGGGGGAAGGAGGCGGGTTGGTAGAGATAGTTGAAGAAGTAGTATTTGAGTTCGGGGAGTAAGGGACGCGGGCCCGGTCTCCACCAGGGTTGCAAGAACGGGGAGTGGTAGTCCTCGTGGAGGTAGACGGGGTTGTCGACGAGTTCTTGGAAGACTTTGCTGATTTCGACCATTAGATCCTCTGGGGTTGTCTTTGGTCCGGAGAAGTTGGCGAACGGGCACAGGGACGGTCCGCCTTTGATGCACTCCGTGAAGAAGTTGAGAAGTGGGATATCAGTTTTCCGGGTAGCGTCGAGCCATTGACCGCTGTGGTAGTCTCGAGCGTCCTGTACGCTATCGAGAAGCATGCGGCCGATTCGATCGGGAAACATGGCTGCGAACGTCTGTCCGAGGGTGGTGCTGTACGAACGGCCCCAGAAGCGCAGTTGGCCGTCCTCGTTGAGAGCATCGACGATGCGAAGCAAGTCGCGTGCCGTAAACGTTGTACTCAGGTATTGTCCGGTTTCTTTTTGACTCTCGTAGCAGGCGTCGGCAAACCAGCCGCCGTCGCCCCATGCCTTGAAGTTTAGAAGACCCCAGAGGTCGGCTTGTGGTAGAGTTGTGTTAATCAAATCACGAGGCTGCTTCTTCGTTTTGTTTGCCTTTGCGGTGTTGAAGTCACAGGCAAATGGGAGCGTTTTTCCAGTACCACTGCGTTGTGTGAGCGACATGTTCCAATAGGGCAGACGTTAAGACTCACCGAGGATCAAATCCAATCACGTTGTAATGTCCGCCAAAGACTCTGGAATAATTCTGTTAGCTTTGCCGGTGAATAACAGACATTAAACTTACTCCCTGTACATGGGGCCTTTCGTTGCAACCTCCTCTACTCCCGAGCCCCCAGGCCCACCGGGATTGAAAATAATGCTCGCCTTAGCCGGTTGCTTTGTGGCGTTGACCTTCACCAGTTGCAGTTCAATGGTCTTCCCAGATTTAGGATTCGTATAGTCCAACGGCACCTCGAGTTTCGCGCAGTCGATCGGCGTTGTGATCAATTCCTTTGTTGTTTTGGGGAAGTCGATATCGCAAGGCTTCCAGTCCAAGGAGGTTTGCTCATGGTTGGATCTTTCATTGTGAGGCAATGCTCCCACAAGGCTGTGGGACAATAGTAATAGAACGGTGCTAATGTATAGCATGGTGAGTTAAACAAATGTAGTCTTGGGGTTATGGAGACATCCCGCATACCTTCATGGACGATACGGGTCTTTATATCCATGTCTCGGTGTATGTATTTCCCATTGATGGACGAGGCTGAGTCGAATTGTTGATGATGATGCCCAGCACCGACCCCATGGCGATACGTCAGATCCGATGCTGGCATGTCCTCCCAAACGGCAAAACCCCAGCAGGGACCGACCGCGCTAAGCCCGATGCGGTGACACGCGCCGCACGGGATCCGCAGCGCTGCCCCCAGAGAAAGTTTCGATTTTGGCATCTTTGCATCATCTCCGCTCCCAATACGAGGTGCGTGATCCTGTCAATCTCCAATCCGGCAAGTCAAGGTTCTCGGGAGGTGGCAAGGCTGGCTTGGCCATGACACCGGTCACCTCGATCGATCATACTCACTGGGCGCCGTTATGACGTTATTTTTGGCTCTTTTTCTCCCAGCGGCACATGCGTCCTAATCGGGTTTAGTGGCTGATGCGAGTGGCAGCCTCAGGCCGATCATGACCACATGGCGAGGATTCGCTGGGGGGCCAAGTCTGGGGACGACATCTCTCATGCTGTCTGAAATTGGCACCTACTGTGGTTTTTGAACCTATTATATCCAACGGAATCACTCATTGGGGCCTGTGGCGTCCGATTAAATTGTCAGGGCCTTCAGGAGCAAGATATATTCTCGAAGAAGCACCAGCTTCTGGTCTGCGTTTCATCTTGCTGTGAACACTGCCTAGCGTACATGGCTGAAGTCCCAGCATCAATTTTGACGCGAACCCGATGGACTGGGACTAGTGCAAGAGTTGGTTCAGTGCCGAGTTGTTCTGGGTAAGGCAGATGATGTGTCAGACGATGATGCCGAGGTTCTTTCGGGGGAGTTTTCATTCCAATGGGAAGTGAATATATGAGTAACATGTGGCGATGGTGAAGAGGTTGGAGTTGGGGGTCGGTTGCTGGTGTGGTCGGTGGAGGATGGTTGGAGTTTCCTTTGTAGATTTTTGGGGAAGGAGATCACTGAGGGAGTGGATTTTCCGAATGGGAATTCGCCGAGGGAGTGGGCGGAGCAGATTGGCAGGACGATGGAGGGGCATGATCGGAGGGCTGTGAGGAATACGTGTGTTTTTGGGACGGTTGTGATCACGTTAATAGCAGCGCTGGTCGTCTAAGTTGGAGAGGGGGACGGACTGCTAATGTGGGTTATATGGATTGACTGTATAGGTTTGTCTGCTTGACACGTCCGACTATCGAGAATAGATTGGCCACTATACGAAAACTAAAAACACAGCTTTGACCTCTTTCTGCACCCAGAAAGACAATGTCCGTCGCATAACCCGACAATCAACTTCACCCACCGACCCGGAAAACGACCTTCTGCGGCAAATCCCTCGAGCTGAATCCAATATGAACGGTAAACTCGCCCCTCGGCAACCTCCATTCCTGAGCAGTCACATCCCAATAACTGAGATCGCGGCGAGTGAGCGGGAAGCGAACCGATTTACTCTCTCCTGGACGCAAGGACACTTTCTCGAATCCTCGCAAAACCCGTTTAGGTGTTCCGGCAGGAACCGAATCTTGCGGAAAAGCAAGATAAAGTTGAACGACTGTCGCTCCGGAGACAGATCCGGTGTTCTTGACCGATGTCGATGCGCTGATCACCTCCTTCCATAATGCAGGGTTCCCACCGGGTGCGTTGCGAGTCGAGTTTGGTGGAAGTTGGGGAATGTTGAGCTTTTTCTTGGATAACGAGGCCTTCTTTGGCAAAGCAAAGGTAGTGTAGCTCAGACCGTATCCGAATTCATAAAGCGGCTCGATGTGTTTCTCGTCGAAGTACCGGTAGTCGATGAACAGGCCTTCTTCGAAGTCCACTTTCCAAGCAGAGGAATCTCTCCGCGAAGGCCCTGTAAGGTTCAGGAGACCGGTGTTGTAATCATCTTCCTCCTTGGCGATAGTGTAAGGGAGTCTTCCTGATGGATTCACGTCGCCGAATATGACATCAGCGATGCTATTACCTGTCTCTTGGCCCGGGTAATGTGCCGCTAGGATCGCAGTGACGTTGGGATTATCAGCCCAAGACATCGTGTTGATCCCGCCGGAGTGCGTGATAACAACGGTCTGGTTGCATTGGCGTGCGACATTGTTCACCACTTCGGTGGAATTATAATCGGCTTCGAATGATAGACGATCAACACCCTCTCTAGCCCACGTCTTCAAGAACACGAGACAGACATCCGGATTGGGATAGATGCCCGAGAAGTCATTCTTCGCTAGCACTGCATTATCGGTGATATATTGCACGCGAGCGTTATTTTCTCTGGCGCGAGCCTTGATCGCTTCCAAGGGGCTGACGATATAACTGTTTCGGCCGCCGCCTGAACCTCCGCCAACCACCAGCGTGCCGATGTCATATCCAAAGTCAGGATATTCGCTCTGGGGTCCATCGTACACAAGTCCTTGAGTGAGATCCGCTGCGTCATTTCCGAAAACCCCGACCACGGATGGGATGGGCGCTTTGAGCGGCAATATAGAGTTGGTGTTCTTCAGGAGAACGGTAGCCTCGGCGGCCTTTTGGCGGATAAATTTCGCATGATCTCCTCGAACATCCTTTCCTTGCGGATTTGTTGGCCAATACGTGTTATATGTTTTGGCCATCACTGCCGAAGTCGAGGGATCTACGGACGGATAGTCCTTATCCTGACCGAGGTAGAAGTACGGTGTCAAGATCCGACGAACCATGTCGTCTAAGCGTGACTTAGAGACACTGCCAGTTTTGACCGCAGCAGTGACATTGTCCCCAAAGTAGGATCGAGTAAAGTCAGTCTGGTCAATTGGGCCAGGCATATTCATGTCCAATCCAGCGGTAATTGCTTTGGCCCCTGAGTGAGTCGCAAACCAGTCCGAGACAACATAGCCCTCAAAGCCCAGTTCTTTTTTCAAGATTTCATTCAAGGCTCGCGGATTCTCACACGCATATGTGAAGTTCAGCCGGTTATAGCTGCACATGACCGATGCTGCGCCAGCTCGGACGGCATGAGCAAATGGCCAAACGTACAGTTCATGCATAGTTCTGTCGTCAATGTTGGACGATATCCCCTGCACGGGTGTACCGTCAATCACAGTATTGGAGCGCTGAGTTTCCTGCTCATTGCCGACGTAGTGTTTCGCGGATACCTGCACACCTGCATCTTGATTTCCACGGATGGTGAGATCCATAGCGATGCCAGTGAGGTACGGATCAGGCGAGAAGCCTTCCCAGTTCCGTCCACCCAGAGGAGTCCGCCCCAGCGGACCAGCAACGGGTCTAAAAAGAGATTTCAGTCAGAGCAGTAACAATAATCTGCTGGGGGCTGTATAACATACCCCAGGAAAACATTAGCACCCTTCCCGCGAAATTCTGTCCCGAGTGCGAATCCCCGCTGATAGAAGAAGTCCTTGTCCCATGACGCTGCTGTTGTTATGCCCGCGGGGAAGACACTTGCTAGATCGCCTGTATGCACTGCAGTCGGGCCATCGAGTAGACACATTCCAGTGAAACCAATCCGCTCGATGGGTCTCACATTGCCGATGCACCCAACTCCTAGATTTCCCGTGACAATGATTGATTTCTCAGTTAAGTTCATTCTCTTTATGAGAGCGTTTGCTTGTTCGGTTGCGGCATTCCATTTTGCGGTGTCAATTGCAGGATCTGTGCTGGTCGTTAGTAAAAGGCAATTGCCGAGGCGAACTGGACTCACTTAAGTAAGAGGGCGTCGATGGTACATATGGTACGCTAGAAACCTGTTGGGCAGGACTAGCAATAACCGCGGACAGCAGAATGGATAGAAAAGCTGCCTGTTTGATGACCCCCATTTTGAAAGTTTACTTGGGTAGTTAGGCCATGGCCGCTGTATTCGACTATGATCTCGCTCGCATTTTATAGCCATGCGGCCTTTGGCATTTAATCTCATCACCCCACTGCAGGAGTGACGAAATACGGGGAAACCATGGTCACATAGGAATGATTTAGTGATGCCCGGAAAGGACCGTCATGTTGATCAGTCCTTCACCCCTCTCCGCCAAGATACCCACCAATAAAATTATCGACAGACTTGTATAGACTGGAAGATTTAGCCAGATAAAAGGAACTCGGATACGAGTACGACCCCAAAAGGTGATCCCTGCTGATCAACGGTTGCGGGGATCTTCATACTTGAATCCGAGGTTGTACATATAGCTTCGACATAAGAACCGCAAAATGCTCAATTCTCGGGCTGGATTGCCCCGGACGGTCAGAATGGCCTGCTTAGAAGCCTCATACTGTCAAGGATAGACAGGTTAGATGGGCTGATTGAACCCGACTTGGCTAGTGTTCAGAACATTAGCTTAGCCGACTTGAGAAAGTGATACGAGTACGAAACCGATCGGCAGCGTCGTTGGGAGCCAGCAGCATACCCTCAGGAGATCATCATCGATTAATGGTGGAATTATATGTTGATTCCTAATCTAAAAGACAGAGGCCAAAGGTGTCGTTGACTCCAATAGGACTCGTTTCTTGTCTGAATCTCTCCCGAATGTATCTGGTGTCTCCGCCATCCGGAAGGACTGTTTTTGCGAGGCTGCGGCAATATGTGAGTTCGACTGCCGTCTATTCGGTGATAATGGGGGCTTTGGGTGGCTCACTAAGGCGTGCGATGTGATGCCCTCCTCACGCCATAAACCCCTTCATCTCTGCTGTCTCCACATTTTACCCCGCATTTTGGGCGCCCTACTCCGTACCCCAGAGTACAGGTCCGCTGAGATCATCTGACTCGCTCGCATATCGTCTTCTGGCTAGACATATATGGCAATTGTAACCCCTTGCGCATCCGTGCATAGAACGAAATGTCATATTTCTCGGCATTTAGACCATTCCGACTTGTGGGGATATAGTCGCCATCAGCGACTTTGCTGGGAGACGGTCGCGTTGGAGCATAGCTCTGTTCTGGGCACAGATTTGCTCAAATCGCGGCAGATAATAATTCATTTTTGTATGGGAAGCCATTCACATAAGAAATGCTTCGTATGTTGGATGTGGGTTGCCCGCGCTTTAGACTCCGCCCAGTTCAAGGGCCCCGTGATTGCACACGTGGCTTCTGGCTCATGGCTACGGCTGTCAGCCACCATCTTCGCCATGTGGCATATCACTGGTGAAATACCGCCAGATATATCCTGAGCAGTTAAGCTCGATAATCTAGGAGTCCGCCAACTGGGAACAACTCACCAAGCCACTTCAAAATGTCAAGACAGCAGTTTGCTCGCCTGGAACGCTTGCGCCAATTCCAAGACATCCAAAGGCTTATGTGCATAGGCAAAAGGTGCAGACTTCCCGAGCCAGGATCCTGTACTTCCAACCAATTACGTTCGAAATGTCGGTAATTCCGCGACTAGAAATGCAGCCCAATCGCGTAGAGCCGAGGATGCCATGCAGGGAGGTGCAGCATTCCAACTCGATACGGGCAGCGGAGATTACTGGAATGCTGGATCACTAGGCACGGACAGGTGGGCGAACAGAACCTGCGCCTTATTCTCCGACGTGGCACGAGCCTCCATCGCATCCCCAGCGGCGGCGTCGATGCCCGACAAAACTTCGAGCCAGTGGTATGGACTGAAGGCTGAGCGGTTAGTCCGGGCACTGATTCAAGAGCACGTTCGGACAAGGAGTAGGACATGTTACTTTGCCCTCTCCGCAAACTGCCTCGGCGAACAACCCCGTTCATGAATTATGACAAGGGGCAAATTGTTGTCTATTGACGATTTAGTCCGTTGTCCGACCGCAATCCCGAGTTCTGCTAACGCAAAACGTCTCACCGGGTCGGAACCGTAGCGTGATTCTGGGGATCCCCGCGTTCAGTCCAGGACTCCGTGACTCCTTCGTACTCTGACCCCGGAGTAGACTAACGATGGGTAAGCGAGGTGCAAACCTTGTATTGTGGGACTGGACCGACCACGGGGTTGGAGATGGTTCGAGGACATGTCAAACCATTCCACGCCGGCAGTCCCCAGATCCAATAAGTGACCAGGAGTGGTAAATGGTGCTCGGGTCCAGGAGAGTATCCAAAGCCCTCCATCCCGGTCAGAGTTCCTCGAGGGTAGTATCAGCAACCCACCGAGTCAGTATTGATACCACCACCGTACGGGTCGATTGGCGCCGGCGTATGCCAAGGGCCTTGGCGTATTTCAGCCCGCATAGCCTGCTTGGCTATTTTTGTCGAAAGGTTTGGGGGATAGGGTTGGATGGTGGTGGCACTGAGGAGGATGTGCGACGACATCTTCCAATTGAGTTCTGTGTCTGTGTAATGGAAGCTGAGATCGATCGGCATCGCGACTGATGGGGGTGTGCCTCGGAGAGATCCGACCCTCGTCTCCCTGCCACCGAGAAGCACCAACGTAAAACATGAAAAACCAGAGACACGGAAAAGCGAATAAAAAAAACCCCCAACCGGGGTCATGCCGCCGAGCGAATGGTATCTCGGACACCCGGCCGTCGACAAGAGCGCCGAGTTGGTCCTAGGCCGAGGGCGCAGGATTGGGTGCAACCGTCAACGCTTATTGTGGTAGTGGTGTCTGAATGGGCGTACTTGGCTCCGAGAGGGAAGATGCTGAGATGAGGGTTACATTCTGCTGACTGACTGACTTCTGTCACCGGTCCGTGTCCCGTACCGTTTCGACATGGCACATCCCAACGAATTATTCGCTCTGGCTTCAACAAAGGATGGACGTTTTGCCCCAGACCTTGTCCAACCCATCGAGACTTCTCGATTCATCGATGGCAAAAGGGGGGTGGCCTGACGGGAAGTCAGACTGGCAGAGGCCATCGCCAGCGCCGCCTGGAGGGGTGGCACACCATGCTGGATCGGGCTAGACCGGACCATGCAGATTACCTGGATTGTACGGGGCATCCACGGGGAAAAGGCACGTGGTAGGCTGGAATCTCCGACCCCTGCTGCCATGGTCGGCCAAATTCCTAGTGAGGGTTAGCGGGCCTGGGTGGTTTCTAGATTTCTGGCAAAGCCGATGGCTCGCCCGGCCTAGACCCGAGCTTCTGTTTGGCTAGATGCCCGGTTATTTGATACCGCACTGGCTCTTCTGGGGATAGCGTGGTCTGAGAGCACATGGTCGGCCCGTCCGCGTTAGATGTGAGAGAAATTTTCCACGGCCAGGCGGTTGTACAAACGACAAACGCCAGGCCGTAACGGAAAGTCACCACCCCGGGTCTTCCCCAATGCTACCTAGACCATCGTCTGATTCGTTCCCGCCCTGGTGCCACCCCTTCTGCCCAGCCCCGACCGGGTCTAGCGGGGGTGCTGTCTGTTTTGTTCTATGCCTCTTTCGACACTAGTCTAATTTCCCCCGGATGCCTCGAGTATGACAACCAAATTTTCTCAGGCCCTTTGGCCATCGAAAAAGTCAACCCATATGGGGCCAACTTCTTGGGGTGCCGAGTGAGATGCAGCTGGTCTGGTGAATCCCCGTGGGCGAACTTCCCCGGCCCCGGTCCTGAGCCGACAGACTGGGTTGTCCGTCTCAGGTCTCTCCAGATTATAAAACCACCTGCATCCCCTCCCACATCCCCGAGATCCCTATTACTTTTTCTCCCTCTTCATCTATCTTGCATACAAGCCGACAGCGGTTCGTCCGGGATTCTAATTTTGACCGCTTGGCGGAGAAACTTCTTTCCTCTCCCTTCTCCGACAGGACATAGCTGTCACCATGGCCGACGCGCTCGATGTCTCGCGTGTCGAGGCGCCCGTCACCTTCAAGACCTACCTCATGTGTGCCTTTGCGGCATTCGGTGGTATCTTCTTCGGTTATGACTCGGGTTATATCAACGGTGTCATGGGTATGAGATACTTCATTGAGGAGTTTGAGGGACTGGTAAGCGCGTTCTGAACGCCTGATCTTGCCCTAGATCACAACTAAACTGTCTCATTTCTGTAGGACTACAGCACCACGCCCGAAGACGCATTCGTTATTCCTTCCTGGAAAAAGTCCCTCATAACCTCTATCCTCTCGGCCGGTACGTTCTTCGGTGCTGTCATTGCTGGTGATCTTGCCGATTGGTTTGGCCGACGGACAACCATCATCACGGGATGTGGGGTTTTTATCGTCGGTGTCATTCTGCAGACTGCCTCGACCTCCCTCGCCTTGCTGGTTGTCGGTCGTCTCATTGCCGGTTTCGGTGTCGGTTTTGTCTCTGCCATCATCATTCTGTACATGTCGGAGATTGCTCCCCGCAAGGTCCGTGGTGCCATTGTCTCGGGTTACCAGTTCTGCGTCACCATCGGTCTGATGCTGGCTTCCTGCGTCGACTACGGGACTCAAAACCGCACGGACTCCGGATCCTACCGCATTCCCATTGGGCTACAGATGCTTTGGGCTTTGATTCTTGCCATCGGCTTGTTCATCCTCCCGGAATCCCCGCGTTACTTTGTTCGCAAGAACCAACTCGAGAAGGCTGCGGCGGTGCTTGCACGCGTGCGGGGTCACTCTCAGGATTCGGATTACATCAAGCAGGAGCTGGCCGAGATTGTCGCCAACAATGAATATGAAATGCAGGCCATGCCTCAAGGTGGATACTTCACCACCTGGATGAGCTGCTTCAAAGGAAGCATCTTCTCGCCTAACAGCAACCTACGTCGTACTGTTCTGGGTACCTCGCTTCAAATGATGCAGCAGTGGACTGGTGTGAACTTCGTCTTCTACTTTGGAACCACTTTCTTCCAATCGGTATGACCACTGGTCTTCTGTTTATCGCCGTCGCACAAACTAACGAATTCTATAGCTCGGCACCATCAACGACCCCTTCCTGATCAGCATGATCACCACCATCGTCAACGTCCTCTCCACCCCCATCTCGTTCTACACCATGGAGAAACTCGGTCGCCGCACCTTGCTCCTCTGGGGTGCTCTTGGCATGGTTATTTGCCAGTTCATCGTCGCCATCGTCGGCACTGTCGACGGAACCAACAAGCACGCTGTCAGCGCCGAGATCTCCTTCATCTGCATCTACATCTTCTTCTTCGCCTCTACCTGGGGTCCGGGCGCGTGGGTCGTCATCGGAGAAATCTACCCCTTGCCGATCCGTTCTCGTGGCGTTGCTCTCTCCACCGCTTCTAACTGGCTCTGGAACTGCGTAAGCTTCCCCCTTCCAACGTCATCCATCCTTTTCCTTGCTAACGCAAAAACGCAATAGATCATCGCCGTCATCACCCCCTACATGGTCGATAAGGATAAGGGCGACCTCAAGGCCAAGGTCTTCTTCATCTGGGGTTCGCTCTGCGCTTGTGCTTTCGTGTACACCTACTTCCTGATCCCCGAGACCAAGGGTCTTACCCTGGAGCAGGTCGACAAGATGATGGAAGAGACCACCCCTCGGACATCCGCCAAGTGGAAGCCCCACGGCACCTTCGCGGCAGAGATGGGTCTCACCGACAAGGACGTCGCAGCTAAGGCTGGAATCGTCCAGCACAGCGAGGTGGCTGGTCTCGACACGAACGTTTAGATCAATTTTATGGTTTATGGTATGAAACCTTTCAGCGTTTCAGATACTTCTTCTTTTGTCTGGATCGGTTGGGTGGGTTTTCTTGTTTTGTTGCTTTTTATTCGCTTCAAGCATTGCTGGATGGATGGATACCCGTGGTCGATGGAATGGAATGGATTGAACTGATGGGATCGGAACGCATTATTTTCATGCCTGATGTTATAATAACTTAATGCTTACTACTATTTTGCACTCGATCTCAACATCCTATATGGTGAGATAAGATATGGAATTAATATGTGCTATATCACTTGCTTTCCTACGCTTTGTATAAGTATCCAGTCTGTGATAACCTCAGAGGTGAAGAAATGATTTCATTGTAGGCCTTTTAACTAAGACACTAACTAGGTGGAAAAAAAAGAAACAGACCAACTGGTAAAGGACAAACAGAGCAAAAGTATGCAAACAAACTACGGAAATTCACCGATGATCCAACCAACACCCAGGATTTTGATTAATTTCCATTTATGCCCCACTTAGTGGGTGTCTTCTTCTGCAAAAAGTTTATTCTGACAAGAGGGGGATTCGAACCCCCGCCTCCGATGGAGATTGCAATTCTACTCCTGTTCTCCAGGGGTAAAGTTTTATAACTTGAGTGCAACGCCTTAGACCGCTCGGCCATCTTGCCTTTTTTATTTAACAACACCTGCCCAATTCTGTCCTAACAGGAAAAAGCCCATCTTGGGATGGACAAAAGGAGCGTATTTACATATCTGGTGGTATGAGGTCATCGGGATGGGTCTTCTTGTGATTGTCTTCTTTATCCCTGGGCTTTGGCTGCTACGACGGTGTATGACTCAGAGTAGGACCGCCGCGGTAGTCCAATTCGTTGTGTGTTGTGTGACCGGGTCGGGTTGCAATTGCATGGCCATTCGCCTCCGGTCCCTGATCAACGCTTACAATTACGAAGTATGGCATGGCGATTAAAACGGCACGAGAAAAAAAAAACAATATTCCAATTGAACTAAGATAGATACAAGCCATTTCCGAAGCGACAAGACCACGTGATGATACTTTCCTCCAGATATTCAGCCATGTCCTTGCGATGCAGAATCTCAATGGTCCATCTTGGCTGGCCACGGTGACTACATCTCACTAACCCGTCCGTTTTCTTCGTCTCTCAACTATACTCAATATGAAATCCTTCATCAGGGGACAGTGTCCAAGACGCGCGAGTCGAGAAGGGAGAAGGTGGAAGAGCCAAGTTTCCGAGTTCAACGTCCTCATTTGTAGTGGAATGGTAAACGAGCCGGGCATATTGGACCGCTGCGACAATATCGGCCCATCGTACTAATGAACCGAAAGCCAAGTAAGCATATACAAACATAATAACAAATGGAGAATGGATAACTCAGGGCAGGAAGCCTTACGATTTAGAAGTTTTTTGAAGAGAAACACTGCCCCGTAAACCAATGGAACCACACTATTGGAATGACGATATGCCAATGCGAAGATCGCCGAATACTCTGTCGCCACCGCGAGTGCATCGGCAGCACCAGCCCGGAAGACTAGGGACTCCCACCCCGGCCGGCACGCAATGCCTAAGCGGTGAGGCACTACAGACATTAGCATATGAGCGTACATCCTCGCCATCGGGATTGCTCCAACGGGTGGAAAACTGGAAGACAAACTGAGCGGAACAAACGCAATCGTGAATGTGAGCACATGCCAAAGTTGAAGGTTGCAAATCGCAGTTATCACAGCTATCAAATCCATGTTGATTGTCAATTCCTAGATATTATCAGACTCTTCTCCCCATCGTATATAGTAGTCAGATGG